GGTCAGGATCAGTGTCATATCTTTTTAATGTAGTGTGTGTTGCTCTGGGTGTGCAGCCTTTCTCTCCGCCCTGGTTCCCCACACCCCATCACAGAACCCCAATAGATCAACACACCACCCTCTGAAAGATCAGCTTAGAGACAAAATCTGTCTCTCGTACCTCTACACCACCTCTAATCGCCCTTCTGCTGAGTCCGCTTAGTTTGAGTGTGGTGTCTGTTTGACTCTGCGCCTGTGTATGTGTGTGTGTACACACGCTCTTGTACTGTATTCTAAAGCCCTAGGTGCCGTTCCATGACGGCTTAGCCGTGTGGGACGCACATGAAGAGAGGAAAATTATGAATCCTGGTACAGTCCCCCCTTCTAACCTAATCTCCATCATGCCTTGTCCTCCTGTCCTCTCCCTTTAGTCACGAATGCCTCTCCACGTTCTTCTTCTAATGACCCAACAGCCACAGCAGGCAGGCCCAGGGGAAGTGAGTGATCGATAAATCTATCGAATTATGGCAGAGTTGATTTAAAATGGCGGCTCCCATGCCAAAGACACTGCAAAGCACAGCGAAACGCCTCTCAACAACAAACGGAAGTGGATTTCGCTGCTTTGTTCTGCGACGCCTTACGGCTGAAAGGGGAGTGATGCTTAAGGGGAAAGAAGGTGGCTAGGGAGATCGTAGCGTCCCTTGGCACTGGTTGTGCGGTCACAAAGACATACACTCACAAGGACAGAGACACCACAGACACACAAATGCACACACGCAAATACACACACGGACAGACGCGCGCGCACACACAGTCGTTAACCTCACACCATCTTCAGATCATTTATTTGCCAGGTCGTTGTTTGATCGCAGAGCTGGTGAGCATAAAATATACATTGCCTGGAATGAGACACCAGAGAGCTCTGCCCCTCTCCATTCCTGTACTTTTTCTCATCACATGGAGCCAGCCTTCCTACACCATCACCCTCTCTTCTCAGTGAGGGGCACTGGGGTGTGTTAGAGTTGATACTCGATTCGCTCCCACCGCATGCTGTGGGTGTGAGTGAGAGAAAGAGAAATAGATAGAAAGAAGAAGATGGAAAAGCAAAGCCAAGTGTGTTTATGGTGATGATCAGTAGACTGCACACAAGAGCAGATCATGACTGCACTGTAAAGTAAGTCTGTGTGTGTGTCCATGCGTGGGCACAAATGCCTGCTAAAATGCAGCATACAAATTGAGTTTTTGTGCATGTGGTTGCCTGGCCATGCAGTGCTGTCACCTCGTTGACACAAATCCATACTGACACATGAGAGCAGGGTGGTGGTTGTGGGGGGCGGGGGGGGGGACAGGATGGCAGGGGGTGAGGGGACAGGAGACAGAGGAGCATGAGGGGAGAGAGGAAGGGTGGCAGAAGGGACGGGGACAGGGGGGTTCGTTCCCCCCTGGAATCTCCTGCAGCGCCTGTCATCCCCATCAGTGTCACAGAGCAGAGAAGGTGTGGGAGTTCCACTATAGTTCACTGACTCGACTTACACCCCCCCGGCGCAGTTAAACACACACACAGCAGCACAACTGGGGGGGAAAAGGGATGAAGTAGTATGATGAACTGTGTGACAGCAATAGCGGTTTAGCCTGCCGGATAATCCTGACTGCACAAAGCATAAACAATACACAGAATAGGAAAGATCGAGGCAGATCAGTCGTGTGATTCAATGAGACCAATTTCTTTGACAAATGACATTCGGCTTCTGTTGAGAAAGACGGAGCTCCACTGCCACCGCCACCAGTGAGGCCATTAGCGTGTTGTGTGGAGAACAATGAATGTGTCATTGCAGATGCTGAGCTCTCTATTGTAGCCATCAGTGCAGACAGACACGGAGGATGTCAATAGCTCATTTCAATAAGCGGCGGGCCGATTGGGTCGGTGTAGGAAGCTGCCATGCTCCGATGGCTTGCATCAGTTACACTTTGGGATTATCCCGCTCCGGAATTATCCATCTCTCAACATAAAAACCCACTCCATGTCTCTCTCTCTTGCTAGGGATCCATTTGGGAGCCCCTAAGAGATGGGGCACACAGGAGAGAATTGAGCTGCTCAAGCATGTCCGTTACGCCAGATAGCGCCACATTCTAATACCGATCCCCAGGCGCTAAGGGATATTCTATCCAAAAGTACAAATTCAATATGGCCAACTTTCAGGCATGCTGAGGGTTCGATTCAGTTGGATGGAGAGAATCTATATTCCACCGAGAGGTGTTTCAGCAGGCCACTGGCCCATGTGTCATACAGCAAGTGCAAATGATTTCCTCTCATACCAAGTTTTAATTGCTCGGTGCAGGGATCAATAGAAGCGAGGTGTGTTTAACTTTCAGCCGGAAAGGTCAGTGTCATAAATATCTCTCCTTGATTTGGAGAGGGGGAAGATGGGGAGATAGGGAGCTGAGAGAGATAGGGAGCTGAGAGAGATAGGGAGCTGAGAGAGATAGGGAGCTGAGAGAGATAGGGAGCTGAGAGAGATGGAGAGCTGAGAGAGATGGGGAGCTGTGAGAGATAGGGAGCTGAGAGAGAGAGAGAGAGAGAGAGAGAGAGATACTTTTTGACTTTTTGTCTTTCTTTAAATGGTACAGTGGGGGGAAAAAAGTATTTAGTCAGCCACCAATTGTGCAAGTTCTCCCACTTAAAAAGATGAGAGAGGCCTGTAATTTTCATCATAGGTACACGTCAACTATGACAGACAAAATGAGAAGAAAAAAAATCCAGAAAATCACATTGTAGGATTTTTAATGAATTTATTTGCAAATGATGGTGGAAAATAAGTATTTGGTCAATAACAAAAGTTTCTCAATACTTTGTTATATACCATTTGTTGGCAATGACACAGGTCAAACGTTTTCTGTAAGTCTTCACAAGGTTTTCACACACTGTTGCTGGTATATTATTTTGGCCCATTCCTCCATGCAGATCTCCTCTAGAGCAGTGATGTTTTGGGGCTGTCGCTGGGCAACACGGACTTTCAACTCCCTCCAAAGATTTTCTATGGGGTTGAGATCTGGACACTGGCTAGGCCACTCCAGGACCTTGAAAGGCTTCTTACGAAGCCACTCCTTCGTTGCCCGGGCGGTGTGTTTGGGATCATTGTCATGCTGAAAGACCCAGCCACGTTTCATCTTCAATGCCCTTGCTGATGGAAGGAGGTTTTCACTCAAAATCTCACGATACATGGCCCCATTCATTCTTACCTTTACACGGATCAGTCGTCCTTGTCCCTTTGCAGAAAAACAGCCCCAAAGCATGATGTTTCCACCCCCATGCTTCACAGTAGGTATGGTGTTCTTTGGATGCAACTCAGCATTCTTTGTCCTCCAAACACGACGAGTTGAGTTTTTACCAAAAAGTTATATTTTGGTTTCATCTGACCATATGACATTCTCCCAATCCTCTTCTGGATCATCCAAATGCACTCTAGCAAACTTCAGACGGGCCTGGACATGTACTGGCTTAAGCAGGGGGACACGTCTGGCACTGCAGGATTTGAGTCCCTGGCGGCGTAGTGTGTTACTGATGGTAAGCTTTGTTACTTTGGTCCCAGCTCTCTGCAGGTCATTCACTAGGTCCCCCCATGTGGTTCGGGGATTTTTGCTCACCGTTCTTGTGATCATTTTGACCCCACGGGGTGAGATCCAGATCGAGGGAGATTATCAGTGGTCTTGTATGTCTTCCATTTCCTAATAATTGCTCCCACAGTTGATTTCTTCAAACCAAGCTGCTTACCTATTGCAGATTCAGTCTTCCCAGCCTGGTGCAGGTCTACAATTTTGTTTCTGGTGTCCTTTGACAGCTCTTTGGTCTTGGCCATAGTGGAGTTTGGAGTGTGACTGTTTGAGGTTGTGGACAGGTGTCTTTTATACTGATAACAAGTTCAAACAGGTGCCATTAATACAGGTAACAAGTGGAGGACAGAGGAGCCTCTTAAAGAAGAAGTTATAGGTCTGTGAGAGCCAGAAATCTTGCTTGTTTGTAGGTGACCAAATACTTTTTTTCCACCATAATTTGCAAATAAATTCATAAAAAATCCTACAATGTGATTTTCTGGAGAAAAAAAATCTCAATTTTTTTTCTCAAAACCTCACCCCACCCCCCATCCCCTAAAATAAAATAAACAAATTACCAATATCCCCTGTACTGCATACTCACCTTTTCCTCTACCCCACGATACAAAAACAACACCACACATCACAATAACCCAAACCTCACCACCTCTACAACTGTATATCCAGATCATCTTCCGCAGCTATACAGACAGCCCCCCCAACACACCATATCTCTTGAAACATCTCCACACTTTTTATCATTTTTTAAAACTCAAATTCCACCCTAAGGCGCGCAGAGACCATCCCATTAAATAATAGTAAAGGGTCTGTTATCCCCCCACCTTTGACCCTGTTCCTCCTTGCTATCCAAATAGCTAACTTTGACTGAGCAAACAGAAATTTCAACAACACACATTTTTCCTTTTCCTTATTTGAATTTGAGAGAGAGAGAGAGAGAGAAGGACCTTATTACGATTCTCAGCGAGTAATGGCCACAGAATGAGAGCCAGCCAGACTCAACATCTCAAGTTCAGAGGGGTGTGTACGCCTACTTTAATCACACTCATTATAAATGCTGCAGTCCAGGTCTCCGTGGACAACTCAGTAAATGAGTGTTGAAGGCAGCCTTAAACCCCCTACTTGGCATCAATAATTCAGGACCCAGAGGCAATTTAGTTTTAACAGATTCCAAATCCTTTCATCTGCTTTTAAACCTCAACTCCTTTTATGAGCACTGTAGATCTAGTCAACATCATTATCATCACCACTTGGTACCGACACAAAGTGTTTCTCCTTTGTTCGAGACAGAGAGAGATAGTGTGGGATAGTGTTTCCTTAATAGACTAGTGTGGGATAATGTTTCTAACATTTTGTGTTTGGTGGGAGTGCTCAATGCCCTCTTGATCTAAGAAAATCTATTTCGAAGGGGAATGTGTTGTGTTGGTGTGGCGCTAATTCACATCCTGTGCTGTGTTTTTCCGACATGTTTTTTTTAACCTGATGTGTGTGCGTGTGTCTCTGATCTGTTCCTGTGCTGTTTGTGTGTTGCAGACCTGCGAGAGATTGTGTTTGTCATCCAGAGCCAGAGTAACTCATTCCACGTGAGTCGGGCGGAGAGACAGAGAGCAGACCTGTTACGACAGACTCAGAGCCTCGCACAGGTACCACCAGCGCCACTTAGATACACACAGCATATGTTTTACTATCCTTGTGGGGACCTAAAATGTATTTCCATTCAAAATCCTATTTTCCCTTAACCTTAACACCTAACCCTAATTGTAACCCTAATTGTAATCCTAACCTGGGAAATGTCCCCACGAGGGATAATTTCTTGTTTTACTATCCTGGAGGGGAATTTTGTGGATTTCCGGTACCCACAAGGATAGTAATACACGCACACACACACACACACACACACACACACACACACACACACACACACACACACACAGGTGTTTAGAGAAACTACAGCATCCCTTAACTTCAACCATCTTCTCTAAGCAATATGGTTCATGGCCACAAATAGCTGTTACTTAACTACCTATTCCCCTCTTCACTCCCTGTGGAGCATATAGTCGTCATAGCTGTTACTCTTTTGGAATAATTTGTGTGGAAAACCATCAGCTTAGTGTAACCAAGTCAAGTTCAACTCTTCATGTTGAAATACCACCATCCGTGCTATTGAATTGCTAGCTATTTGGTGACACTTCCAGCTAAAGTGTTTCAAAGGGTGGTCAGGTGTGTTAGTGAGAGAGGATGCGAGATCAAATACCAGTGCAGGCTTGTGAGCGAGAAAGCTAGACTTTTAAATTAATTAAATAAACCATTGAGAGTGGTTACATTTCTCCAGCCCCATCCCTTACCAAAACAGTGGTGGGGTGGCTGTTTTGTTGTTTTTTGAACTACAAATTGTTCCTTTAACACCTAATTAACGAGTGGAGTTTATAAGTTCGTACAGATACCGCAGACAACCAAGGAAATAAATGATACATCTTTTCACAACAAACATAATCAACATCAATTAACCATGAAAGAGGCACCAGTGCAGCCCATGCTTGTTGCCACATGGTGTCAGCGTTGCTTTTGATATGAAGGAAAGGATCATTGTCTCAGATTGCAGCCCCATCTGAGAGGTAGAGAAACCTAGGTACTGGTAGCATAGTGTGTTGTCCAGTAGTGCAATGAAATTAAGTAAATCACCATGGTTGCCTTTATTTAACAGACTACATCATATTGTATTCTGTCAGCATTATTCAAAATATTTATTCCAGATCAAAATGATCCTGTGTTGTCTCAATCCTGTTCACCTATTCAATTTTGTTCCCACTTAATTTTAGAAAGATGGAGGAAGACAATATTTAGACCAAATGTCATGGGATCATATAACATAATAGTTGTTGTAGCAAATATAATGTGATATGTTACATATTAATTGGTTCTGTTTTGTCTTTCAACTTAAAAAGAAAGAAATAGGAGGAGGGTCCACATCTTAAGGAGGAGCAGAATTTAACACAGTGCACAACCATTTTGATCTTGAATAAAACATTTGAAAAACTGGGCCCTGGATTGAACTGCTTCAAACACAAACACACTCAGGCCTTCAGTATGTAAATCAGCTGCACTCCAAGAGAACATATTTTTCATGTCAAGATGACCTCAGCTGTGAAGCCCATTAGTCCTTCAATTCATTAAACCCGTCCTGTTCTCAGATGTCACCTAGTTAGAAGCACCATTATATCCGTCCATCTAGCTGAACACTGGAGCATATACTAACTCATACATTTGACCAGATATTAGAGTAACCTACCATGTAGTGGCCTCTTGTAGGGATGGTGAAGGAGTAGCTCGCTCAACGTGTGTGTGTGTGTGTGCGTGTGTGTGTGTGTGTGTGTGTGTGTGTGTGTGTGTGTGTGTGTGTGTGTGTGTGTGGTGTGTTGTATTTAGAAGTCTGGATCTGAGTACCTGCCTGACACTTAACCTAATGCGAACACATTCGGGGCCGTCTGATTGGTCCAGAAACCGATGGGTTGGGCCAGAGCCAGAACACACTTGGGTAAAGCGCCATTGGCTTTGATACTTTGATTGGTTACAGACGATCCAATCACTGATTAATGTGTTTTGTACAAAGTCCCTCGTGCCCTTCGTCACCACAAACAACTTCAATGATGACAGTCCCAGGCTAAAGTATGTAGCGAATGACAGAGCAATGGAATAATTGAGTGTGAGTCGTCAGGCTACATGGGTCCGTAAGCAATCGACAAAACAAACTCCTGTAATCACACAGTGATTGGATGTGTTTTGAACTGTAATAGATCTGACTGGCCTCCCTGTGTTGACACAGGAAGTCAGTCTCAATGTCCCCCTGGACCTGGATGTCATATAGGGGTTATACACTGAGTATACAAAACATTAAGAACACTTTCCATTACATAGACTGACCAGGTGAAAGCTAGGATCCCTTATTGATGTCACAAATCTACTTCAATCAGTGTAGATGAGGGGGGGGGGGAGGCTACTCAATATTAGGAAGGTGTTCTTAATGTTTGGTATACTCAGTCAGACTGATTCAGCTGCATATTTCTATAAAAAACTGGCTGTGTGTAAGACAGTCACTTGCAGGAGCTTGTGCGTGTGTGTGTGCGTGTGTATGCATGTATGAGTGTGGAGGCTGTGGCAGTTGTAGCTTGGCAGTTTTGGAGATTTGAGACCAAGCCCCCCCCACCCTTTCCACACACACCCCACCCAGTCTACTCCATGAGTAAAGCCTAGCGTACTGTGTCTCTGTGATGGCTGTGTCTCTCTGAAGTGGCGTAAAGCAATTGCTTTTTGTCCCGGCAGTCTGCCTGGTGTTTGAACTGACTTGTTTCTTACTACCTGAGGTGAGGTGAAAGTCAAGTTTAGACTGGTGAATATGCCATTATGAGCCTCGTTATGTTGTTAGTGTGTATATTGGGCTTGACTGAGCTGCTAGCAAACCCCGGCTGGCTAACGTGGTTAACATACTGGACACAGGGTAGGGTTAGGGATTTACAGTCCAGTACTATGATGGTGGGATGGTAGGTGTTTGCAGGGCATTGCTGTTGAGTACCCTGAGTATTTAAATCAATCTGGAGAGAGGCCGTAAGGCTGTGTGTCTGTGAGCGGCATGGTCCCCCTTGGTTTCCAGTCTACTGAGTGGAGTGGATGCAGTCATGAACCCTTGTTTACCTCTCTGTGTGAGACTACCTCAGGCCACTACAGACTACCTCACATGCCATTCAACTCGGAATCAGAGAAGGTTTGATTGAATCCCAATGTTTCGTGTTTACATCTCCAAAATACATGTTTCAAGCAGTGGATAGGGCAGTCAATACTTCAATACTTTGTGGCAATCTTTTGCAAACCTGAGTACCGTTAGGCTACCACAGTTTTTTGTTTTATAATAGCCATTCTATAGTTACTTAGTAGAGCTGGGCGATATGGACAAAAATCCATATTGTGATAAATTGCCTGAATTGATGCGATAACGATAAAAATATTACCCTTTAAACAACTACTAGTAGTTTGATGGTTGTAGCCATCAATTGCCCAATTAACAATCACCCATATTAGCAAACGTATTTCATTTCAAACTTCACATTTCTCTAGTGTAGGCTACTTATCGTAATGAACGATATCAGCAAAATGCCTGCGATAAGTGATCGCTATGGTCGGTGTTGAAAATGTTTGGTTTATCGTCCCAGCTCTAGTATTTAGGCTTTGTTCCTGTGTCTCTGCTGTCTCCAACTAAACAAACACAATTGCTTACAATCTAGAACCAGACTCCTTGAGGACTGTCCTTCCATAGGTTCCTTAGGTTGTCCTTCCTCCTGCTGTAAACTAGACTTATTTGGTTACCCTGCTCTAAATTGAAGAGTTCCTTTCTTTCTGCTCGAGGATTCTGCTGTAAAGTAAAGACTACCTCTTAGTTTCTCTGCTCTGCTGTAAAGAAAATACTTCCTTGGGTTACTACTGTAAAGACTTCCTTGGTTACTCTGCTCTGAAGTCAATACTTCTTTAATTTACTGCTGTAAAGTAAAGATTTCCAGAGGTCCCACTGCTGTAAAGTAACAAGTGTTTCCCTGTCTGGCTTGACTTAAACACTCTTTCTCTTTTCAGACACCCCCTCCGGTCCTGCTCCTCCACAGTCTGACAGACAATGAGGGAGACTGGAGCATCCTTCCTCTGCTGCCTTAGTAAGTGCTCGGGCCTGTCAGCTCTCAAAAGAGCAGGCATTACCCACATTCACAAAGACTTCCATCGTAATTATGTTGACAGTCATTGATCTGCAAGTAATTTTAAATGCCGAACAACCCCGGGCAATATCAGTAGCCTATTGAAACTGCGCGCTGTGTGCAGCTTCGCGCGCTGACCAACGAGAGGTAGGCCTATTTCTGATCTACGAGTCACTTTCAGCATTCAAATGTTTGTAAAATGGCTTTCGCAATATTAGGCTTTATTCGTTGATTTGCTAGGTCATTTTCTTTAAATGCGTTGTTGAAAATTGTGATTTACTGGAATAAAAGTAGCCTAAGCTACTGCCGGAGACAAGTCATGCATGCACATACAGCTTTCAAGACATGTTGGGCGAGCTACTCCTTCACCATCCCTTCACCAAATCTAACATGCCCAGTTTCCCTAATGGCTGGGCTCAGATGACTACATACACCATAGGCATATACGTCATTCACACACACACACACACACACACACACACACACACACACACACACACACACACACACACACACACACACACACACACACACACACACACACACACACACACACACACACACACACACACCAGACAGATCCAGCTCATGCGCTCCATCAGCAGCAGATTTTTATTTACACTGAGCTAAAATATAAACGCAACATGTAAAGTGTCGGTCCCATGTTTCATGAGCTGAAATAAAAGATCCCAGAAATGTACCATACGCACAAATTTGTTTACATCCCTGTTAGTGAGCATTTCTCCTTTGCCAAGATAATCCATCCACCTAACAGGTGTGGCATATCAAGAAGCTGATTCAACAGCATGATAACTACACAGCTGCCCCTTGTGCTGGGGACAATAAAAGGCCACTCCAAAATGTGCAGTTTTGTTACACAACACAATGCCACAGATTTCTCAAGTTTTGAGGGAGCGTGCAATTGGTATGCTGACTGCAGGAATGTCCACCAGAGCTCTTTCCAGATAATTGAATGTTAATTTCTCTACCATAAGCCATTTCCAACGACATTTTAGAGAATTTGGCAGTACATCCAACAGGCCTCACAACCGCAGACCATATGTATGGCGTTGTGTGGGCGAGCGGTTTTGTGGATGTCAACGTTGAGAACAGAGTGCCCCATGGTGGTGGTGGGGTTACGGTATGGGAAGGAATAAACTACGGACAACGCACACAATAAGCATTTTACGAGATCCTGAGGCCCATTGTGAGGCCCATATTTTTTAAGGTGTCGATCCATATCTGTATTCCCAGTCATGTGAAATCCATAGATAATACATGTATTTCAATTGACTGATTTCCTCATATGAACTGTAACTCAGTCAAATCTTTGAAATCGTTTCAAACTAAAACGTGTAGTTCCTGTATCGTATCGGAGCTCATATATCTAGATACGAATCGAATCGTCTTGAAAGGGAAAGATGCACACCCCTACTATACAGCATATGGCTGTCTCCACCTGCTAGGGTCAAGCAAAAAAAAAGAGGAGGGAAATCATTTCTAACTTTTCTAACCATTTTTCACATATAATCTTTGGCAAATAACCATGTAGCAATATTGGAGGTTATATGAAAGTATTATTTATTTTGTACAGCATGATATACAACAAGGTCAATACAGACAATACTTAATTTGTTTGAATGTTAGAAGGTATTTATCCTATTGTATAACAGGATTAGCTACCATACTTGATAGTTACCTATAGTCACCCGTCACCTTATGCCCTGTTCTGCCTTTTGCTAGCCTGGGTGCCAGTCTGTTTCTGCTCTCTTGCCAACTCCTTATTGAATTCTCATGCCAAACAATGACAACAAGGAAGGAGTAGGCAAGAGTGAAAACAGATCTGGGACCAGGCTAGCCTGTTGCTACAACAAGGTCAAAACGAATAGGTCAAGTCATGCATCCACTGGTTCAATAAGCTGTGTAAAGGTCTGGTGACCCTGACTGTGTTTCTGCCTCCTCAGCTTCTCCTTGTTGTTTGGGAAGAACTCGTCCTGGTTGGTGTTTCTGGAAGAGGAGACTAACGTCAAGGTGACCAAGCTGCTCCAGGCCCTCAGGAAGTTTGACAGGAGAAAAGTAGGTGACCCACAGACTTAGGATTGTAATAATAATATTTCTCTACGGAGTGACCACTCTGTACCACTCTTTACTTGGTACAGTAATCACAGTACTTCACATCTCCTTGGCCAACGCCAGGGGAATTTCCCCACTGAGCACCAGCCTTCTGTCTCAGCAGCTGTAATAGAGACAGTGGGTTGGACCTAGTCTTGGAAACCCAGACCCAAGGCAACAGCAGTGACTAGGGTCTGGGATTAATGATGGACTCTCTTGGTAACTTCGAAAAGGAAAACAACTATTCCGGGTATGGTCCTCTTCAGCAGAATACTGGCTCTGAAATACTAACCCTGGTTATGGTAAAATGAAAGTGAGTATTGGACATCGTTTTTCATTCCAACTTGAAGCATTGGGTTGGATCCTGTATCTGGGCCCATATAAGTCTCTAGACAGACATGTTGCTTCCGGCAATATACCAATGCTCCAGCTTAACACATCTGTAGAAGTTCCAGCATCAGTTGGGACAGAGAGGACGAGTCGGAAATGGGAATCGCTTCACCGGTAATGTCACTGCCGGATCTGCTTGTTGCCCTAGCTCAGAGATGGGCAACTCCTCAGGGGCCCCAGTTAACACACTTGACTCGAATAATCAACTTCAGTTTAGAATGCAATTAATTTAATCAGCTGTATTTGCTAGGGATGGGGAAAAAGTGTGACACCACTCTCCTACAGTCAAACATATATTTCTTGTTGTCTTGGGAATTCAAAAATTATGTTTTTGTTGCTTATTTTTATGGGTGAATGATTCGTTTTTTAATAAGCCTGGACAGTTGAAACAGGCTTTAAACCAAAGCATGGGAAAGAGAACTCAAAGCCAAAAATCATCCAACGGCCATCCTGATTAGTACATTTACATTTTACATTTTAGTCATTTAGCAGATGCTCTTATCAAGAGCGACTTACAGTTAGTGAGTGCATACATTTTTCATACTGATACATCCCGATACCGTCCAATGAACAACATCAAACTAATTACACCTCCCGGTGGTACACCAGATCTTCACAAAAAACGGTTTTGTGCTTATTAACAAAGAACAGAGGATCAAGTTATTCTTACTCTGAAAAACTATGCATATTAATTAAGTGAACCTTCCATCTGCTAGCCGGGACAGCCTGGAACCTGTAAGGGGTTTCAATTCCAAGTGAGAAATAGAATTCATTATTATCTCATCATCCATACACAGCCCTGAGCTCTGTGCCCAGCACTATATCAGGGATGAGGAGAGGATGTAGGCTGTCTTATGACTCACTTTAATACATCACACTGTGTGTGTGACTTCAATTTAGGCTTAATTCAATTCAGTATTAACGCAGGGACCATCTTTACCATGGTCAAAAGTCCCAGAATAGTTTTGGGTACTTTAGAAACAGCTACTACTAATATACACTACCGGTCAAAAGTTTTAGAAAACCTACTCATTCAAGGGTTTTTCTTTATTTTTACTATTTTCAGCATTGTAGAATAATACTGAAGACATCAAAACTATGAAATAACACATATGGAATCATGTAGTAACCAAAAAAGTGTTAAACAAATCAAAATATATTTTATATTTGACATTCTTTAAATAGCCACCCTTTGCCTTGATGACAGCTTTGCACACACTTGGCATTCTCTCAACTAGCTTCACCTGGAATGCTTTTCCAACAGTCTTGTGAAGGAGTTCCCACATATGCTGAGCACTTGTTGGCTGCTTTTCCTTCACTCTGCGGTCCGACTCATCCCAAACCATCTCAATTTGGTTGAGGTAAAATAGCCCTTACACAGCCTGGAGGTATGTTGCGTCATTGTCCTGTTAAAAAACAAACGATAGTCCCACTAAGCCCAAACCAGATGGGATGGCGTATCGCTGCAGAATGCTGTGGTAGCCATGTTGGTTAAGTGTGCCTTGAATTATAAATAAATCACAGACAGTGTCACCAGGAAAGCACCCCCACACCATAACACCTCCTCCTCCGTGCTTTATGGTGGGAACCACACATGCGGAGATCATCTGTTCACCCACACCGTGTCTCACAAAGATACGACGGTTGGAGCCAAAAATCTCCATTTTGGACTCCAGACCAAAGGACAAATTTCCACCGGTCTAATATCCATTGCTCGTGTTTCTTGGCCCAATCAAGTCTCTTCTTCTTATTGGTGTCCTTTAGTAGTGGTTTCTTTGCAGCAATTAGACCACGAAGGCCTGATTCACAAAGTCTCCTCTGAACAGTTGATGTTGAGATGTGTCTGTGACTTGAACTCTGTGAAGCATTTATTTAAGCTGCAATTTCTGAGGCTGTTAACTTTAATGAACTTATCCTCTGCAGCAGAGGTAACTCTGGGTCTTCCATTCCTGTGGTGGTCCTCATGAGAGCCAGTTTCATCATAGCGCTTGATGGTTTTTGCGACTGCACTTGAAGAAACGTTCAAAGTTCTTGAAATGTTCCGTATTGACTGACCTTCATGTCTTAATGTAATCATGGACTGTCGTTTCTCTTTGCTTATTTGAGCTGTTCTTGCCATAATATAGACTTGGTCTTTTACCAAATAGGGCTATCGTCTGTATACCCCCCCTACCTTGTCACAACACAACTGATTGGCTCAAACGCGTTAAGAAGGAAATAAATTTCACGAATTAACTTTTAAGAAGGCACACTTGTTAATTGAAATGCATTCCAGGTGACAACCTCATGAAGCTGGTTGAGAGAATGCCAAGAGTGTGCAAAGCTGTCATCAAGGCAAAGGGTGGCTATTTGAAGAATCTCAAATATAAAAATATATTTTGATTTGTTTAACACTTTTTGGGTTACTACATGATTCCATATGTGTTTTTCATAGTTTTGATGTCTTCACTATTAAAGAAAAACCCTTGAATGAGTAAGTGTTCTAAAACTTTTGACCGGCAGTGAAACTGGTAGACTCCCCTCAGAGATATGCTTCCATTTATCAAAATAAAAGAAGTGTATGCATGCAAGCAGTAGTTTGTTAACAAAGACATGCATACATTTGCCTGTCATGTCTAATTGGGGATCATGTTTGCTCTTTTTATACAATTTATTTCTGCAACGTTTATAATGTTCATCACCTCAATGAATACAGCCCAGATGTGTGGCGTGTTTGCAGCTATGTCATCATGATGCTGATGATGTCACATCCATCCCTCAGGAGTGGTTCCTGGGTAAACCTCTTCATGACGAGGATTCAACCATCATCCACCACTACGCCTTTGCAGAGAACCCCTCCATCTTTAAATACCCAGACTTCTCTGCTGCCTGGGCCCTTAGCATCCCTCTGCTTGACAGGTCAGGTCCTAATCTATATCTCACTTCCTTTAATGCTTGTTGTCTCCATCTACCTTTATTTAAAGGTGCATTATGTGATTTGTACATCTTTTCTTTTTTACTTTTAAATTAATTAAATAGCTACTTTATTTATTCTTGGAAAATATAGCTTATGAATGCCTCATGAGCTTAGTTCAACTGTCTTATCCAATCAGAACCCAAAATGTAAGCTTTTTTTACTCCATTGTTTGTAAACAATGTACACTGAACACAAATATAAACACAACATGTAAAGTGTTGGTCCCATGTTTCATGAGCTGAAATAATCCCTGAAATGTTCCATACTCACAAAAAGCTTATTTCTCTAAAATGTTGTGCACAAATGTGTTTATATTCCTGTTAGTGAGCATTTCTCCTTTGCCAAGATAATCCATTCACCTGACAGGTGTGGCATATCAAGAAGTGGATTAAACAGCATTATCATTACACAGGTGCACCTTGTGCTGGGGACAATAAAAGGGCACTTTAAAATGTGCTGTGTTTGTCGCACAACACAATGCCACAGATGTCTCAAGTTTTGAGGGAGCGTGCAAATGGCATGCTGTCTGTCACGATCGTCTAAGGAGGGAGAGGATCAAGGCGCAGCGTTGAAAGCGCCAACTAAATCCCACAGGGGAGGGACCGGGTGGGCACTCCGCCTTGGCGGTGGATCCGGCTCCGGGCCTGATCCCCACTCCCTCTCCAACCCCCCAAAGTACCCCTGGTCCGGTCTGGCCCCGCTGGCCGGAGCCGGACTGACGATACGCACCCCTGGCTTGGTGCGTGGAGCAGGAATGGACCGGACTGGGCTGGCGACGCGCACCACAGACTTGGTGCGGAGAGCAGGAACGGGCCGGACAGGGCTGACGAAACGCACCACAGACTTGGTGCGGAGAGCAGGCACGGGCTGTGCCGGACTGATGACGCACACCACTGGCTTGGTGCGGGGAGCTTGGATGGGCCGGACTGGGCTGGCGACGCACCCCGTAGGCTTGGTGCGTGGAGCAGGGACTGGCCGGGCTGGGCTGGCGACGCACACCGTAGGCTTGGTGCGGAGAGCAGGAACGGGCCGGACAGGGCTGACGAAATGCACCACAGACTTGGTGCGGAGAGCAGGCACGGGCCGTGCCGGACTGATGACGCACACCACTGGCTTGGTGCGGGGAGCTTGGATGGGCCGGACTGGGCTGGCGACGCACCCCGTAGGCTTGGTGCGTGGAGCAGGGACAGGCCGGGCTGGGCTGGCGACGCGCACCGTACACTTGGTGCGAGGGACTGGAACAGGCCGGACCGTACTGGGGACACACCCCAGTACCTCTCGCCGTGCCTCTACATCCTCCATCCCCTCTTCGACCAGTGGCCCCCGTAACCTGGCGGCCTCCTCTGGCAACCCGCTGGGCCGCTCTATCGCGGCCTCCTGCTGGTCCGACGTCGTGAGCCCCCCCCTAAAAATGTTCTGGGGGTCTCTCCTCCCCGTGGGCCAGGCCTCCATCGTTCTCGCCAGACTCTCACCCCACTGCTCCAAAGTCCAACCTCTCTCCTCTTCTCTTGGCTTGGCCCAGTCGAGACTCCTACTCAACTGCTCCCAAGTCCATCCTCTCTCTTCTTCACGCTGCTTGGTCCTGTTATGGTGGTTTCTTCTGTCACGATCGTCTAAGGAGGGAGAGGACCAAGGCGCAGCGTTGAAAGCAAACATATTTATTTATTAAATGCTCACACGAGCAAAACAACGAAACGTGACGTCCTTGGTTACAAAAAACAAACCAACACGGAACAAGAAACCACAACACAAAGTGAAAAGACCGATAGTTAAATATGGCTCCCAATCAGAGACAACCAGCTGTCACTCGTTGCCTCTGATTGGCAGTCACTCAGCCCAACATAGAAAATCAAACATAGAATACACACCCTGGCTCAACATAACATTGTCCCCAGAGCCAGGGCGTGACAGTACCCCCCCCTAAAGGCGCGGACTCCGACCGCGCCAACTAAATCCCACAGGGGAGGGACCGGGTGGGTACTCCGCCTTGGCGGCGGATCCGGCTCCGGGCCTGATCCCCACTCCCTCTCCAACCCCCCAAAGTACCCCTGGTCCGGTCTGGCCCCGCTGGCCGGAGCCGGACTGACGATACGCACCCCTGGCTTGGTGCGTGGAGCAGGAATGGACCGGACTGGGCTGGCGACGCGCACCACAGACTTGGTGCGGAGAGGAGGAACGGGCCGGACAGGGCTGACGAAACGCACCACAGACTTGGTGCGGAGAGCAGGCACGGGCCGTGCCGGACTGATGACGCACACCACTGGCTTGGTGCGGGGAGCTTGAATGGGCCGGACTGGGCTGGCGACGCACCCCGTAGGCTTGGTGCGTGGAGCAGGGACTGGCCGGGCTGGGCTGGCGACGCACACCGTAGGCTTGGTGCGGAGAGCAGGAACGGGCCGGACAGGGCTGACGAAACGCACCACAGACTTGGTGCGGAGAGCAGGCACGGGCCGTGCCGGACTGATGACGCACACCACTGGCTTGGTGCGGGGAGCTTGGATGGGCCGGACTGGGCTGGCGACGCACCCCGTAGGCTTGGTGCGTGGAGCAGGGACAGGCCGGGCTGGGCTGGCGACGCGCACCGTACACTTGGTGCGAGGGGCTGGAACAGGCCGGACCGTACTGGGGACACACACCACTGGCTCTACCTCGGGATCTGGAACGGGCCGGACCGGACTGGTAACACACCCCAGTACCTCTCGCCGTGCCTCTACATCCTCCATCCCCTCTTCGACCAGTGGCCCCCGTAACCTGGCGGCCTCCTCTGGCAACCCGCTGGGCCGCTCTATCGCGGCCTCCTGCTGGTCCGACGTCGTGAGCCCCCCCATAAAAATTTTCTGGGGGTCTCTCCTCCCCGTGGGCCAGGCCTCCATCGTTCTCGCCAGACTCTCACCCCACTGCTCCAAAGTCCAGCCTCTCTCCTCTTCTCTTGGCTTGGCCCAGTCGAGACTCCTACTCAACTGCTACCAAGTCCATCCTCTCTCTTCTTCACGCTGCTTGGTCCTGTTATGGTGGTTTCTTCTGTCACGATCGTCTAAGGAGGGAGAGGACCAAGGCGCAGCGTTGAAAGCAAACATATTTATTTATTAAATGCTCACACGAGCAAAACAACGAAACGTGACGTCCTTGGTTACAAAAAACAAACCAACACGGAACAATAAACCACAACACAAAGTGAAAAGACCGATAGTTAAATATGGCTCCCAATCAGAGACAACCAGCTGTCACTCGTTGCCTCTGATTGGGAGTCACTCAGCCCAACATAGAAAATCAAACATAGAATACACACCCTGGCTCAACATAACATTGTCCCCAGAGCCAGGGCGTGACACTGTCTGCAGGAATGTCCACCAGAGCTGTTGCCAGAGAATTTAATGTTAATTTCTCTACCATAAGCTGCCTCCAACATCGATTTAGAGAATTTGGCAGACCATGTGTAACCACGCCAGCCCAGGACCTCCACATCCGGCTTCTTCACCTGTGGGATCATCTGTAATAAAGCCCTTTTGTGGGGGAAAACTCATTCTGATTGGCTGGACCTGGCTTCCCAGTGGGTGGGCCTGGCTGCCAAGTGGGTGGGTGGGCCCAGTCATGTGAAATCCATAGATTAGGGCCTAATTAATTTTTTTCTAATCTTTGAAATTGATGCATGTTGTGTTTATATTTTTGTTAAGTGTAAGTTGAAAACAAACACTTTATAGCTTTAAAACATAGTTAGAACTATACGTTTGATCTGATGGATGCGTCCATAGATCTATTTTTCCCTAGTGGTCTTCAGAAACCTGTATAGCAACCACATCTCAGAAATGATGTGCTCTGCTGGACAATAACTTTTTTTTATGCTGTTTATTTCATTCTATCATCAATCATTGTTAAATTCTTAGTGGTCTAGGGAAAGTAATACTATTTTTATTAAGTTCTAACTGCAAATTCTAATAGACAGTGATTTTATCTTCCAGGCTCGCAAACAAAGTGAGAGATGACCCACTCAAGTCTGACTTCACTATCGATCTGAAGCATGAGGTAAGATTTATATCCGACCGCATTATCGCTGTGAGTTCTGATGGAAATGTGTATAAAGAGTAATTTAAATTATTCGTTTTTAACGTTTGGAAATATCGGCTACACACAGCATGGAGTAAAGCAGATGCTGTTATTGGATCATCATTTGTGTCACTAACCACGTTTCCATCCACAGTTTCTATGCGCGTAAAGTCATACCTTATAAAAAAAATCACGACAGCTGTGATGGAAACAAGAAGTTTGGGTACAATTTTATAATTGCAGACACATCATTTGTTCATTCGTTATGGTGGGATCTTTTTGTGTCGCTAAAATTAATGATGCGAGAAATAGCAGTGGAAACGTCTTTATGCGCAAATATTGATATAATAACCATCATATCGAAAGAAACTTGGAGTCACGCGATGATATGGTGTGTGGTCCTCCCACTACGACTCGGGAAACCATGCAGTTTATTAGGCTAGAAATGAAATAAGTTATGATGAAGTTCACAGTATGGTGCAAGTGCACAGTGATCTTGATGCTCCTTTCCCAAAAATATCGAGGGTCTTATTCTGGTGACATGATGATCGATGCTTGACTGCCATTTGACAAATACAAATATTCTTGCTCTGATCCATAATAATCTCATCATGTAGACTAGCCTACCCACACTGTATCTGCCAGCTGTTGGTTAGAGCACACGTGCCACGACCAGAGTAGGCACATTTGCTATTTAACGCAACAGTTTTTGACTAAACTATCGGTAGAGTTGAATATGTGATGGAAACACATTGAACTTTAGAATTTTTTTCGGTACATGAAAATGTAAGTGTTAAAAGTATTGTACATTTTGAGGGCACTACGTCATCACGCATGGATTTTTGCCCGCAACAAGTCCATTTGGTAGAAACACACCACTGGTGGGAAAATGTGAATATTTTCTTTTTGAGAATTCTAGAATATTCTCATTAAAATCTGTCGCCAATTGAATGGAAACCTAACTTATGACACTGCACTTTCTTCAACTTGTATTATCCTTCTCTGCTGTCCCCTGCCCTTTCCTGCTGTTGTTGACAGGAGAGCCTATACACTAACATTGTCTTAAGCCTAGTAGATGCTAATCAAATGAAGTATAATTTCAATATAACCTGGTGTCAAAAACTCATTACGTCCGACAATAGCCCAATAGAAGCAGCTTCCTCCTCAAATCTCCCTCCTAAAGCCCAGCTGGCTGTCACATTGTTGTCTGAGGGACACTTTCTCCCTGTGACTGCCTTCTCTTTATTTTCTGTGTTTTTTTTGCCCCATCTCAGAGCATCTTCAGTCCTTCATTCAGGGGAGAAATAGAATAGCACTCACTGTATCCCTGTCTCTCTCTCCCTCCCTCTATCTCCCTCCCTCTCTCGGCTGGGTTTTTCTCCCAACACTCTGGACTCATATTGTCACATTTCTCTGCCTCAGATATGAAAGACAGGGAATGGTAACGCTTTACAATGAGGATACATTAACATTAGTTAATGCATTAGTTAACTTTAATAAATGATTAATTAATATATCTACTAAGCATTTATTAATGGTATGTATGTTTACTAAGCCATCAAAAATGCATTAATAAATTATTTATAAAGCTTATAGTTAATGTTAGTTAATGGGTTAGACTTCAGTGTGACTTCTGACATTGTTGATCATAGTCTGCTGATGGAAAAACGTACAGTACCAGTAAAAAGTTTGAAAACACCTGCTCATTCCAGCGTTTTTCTTTATTTGTACTATTCTCTACATTGTAGAATAATAGAAAATACATAAAAACTATTAAATTACACATACAGTGAGGGAAAAAAGTATTTGATCCCCTGCTGATTTTGTACGTTTGCCCAAAGAAATGATCAGTCTATAATTTTAATGGTAGGTTTATTTGAACAGTGAGAGACAGAATAACAAAACAAAAATCCAGAAAAACGCATGTCAAAATTTTTATAAATTGATTTGCAATTTAATGAGGGAAATACGTATTTGACCCCTCTGCAAAACATGATTTAGTACTTGGTGGCAAAATCCTTGTTGGCAATCACAGAGGTCAGATGTTTCTTGTAGTTGGCCACCAGGTTTGCACATATCTCAGGAGGGATTTTGTCCCACTCCTCTTTGCAGATCTTCTCCAAGTCATTAAGGTTTCGAGCCTGACGTTTGGCAACTCGAACCTTCAGCTCCCTCAACAGATTTTCTATGGGATTAAGGTCTGGAGACTGGCTAGGCTACTCCAGGACCTTAATGTGCTTCTTCTTGAGCCACTTCTTTGTTGCCTTGGTCGTGTGTTTTGGGTCATTGTCATGCTGGAATACCCATCCATGACCCATTTTCAATGCCCTGGCTGAGGGAAGGAGGTTCTCACCCAAGATTTGACGGTACATGGTCCCGTCCATCGTCCCTTTGATGCGGTGAAGTTGTCCTGTCCCCTTAGCAGAAAAACACCCCCAAAGCATAATGTTTCCACCTCCATGTTTGACGGTGGGGATGGTGTTCTTGGGGTCATAGGCAGCATTCCTCCTCCTCCAAACACGGCAAGTTGAGTTGATGCCAAAGAGCTCGATTTTGGTCTCATCTGACCACAACACTTTCACCCAGTTCTCCTCTGAATCATTCAGATGTTCATTGACAAACTTCAGATGGGCCTGTATATGTGCTTTCTTGAGCAGGGGGACCTTGCTGGCGCTGCAGGATTTCAGTCCTTCACGGCGTAGTGTGTTTCCAATTGTTTTCTTGGTGACTATGGTCCCAGCTGCCTTGAGATCATTGACAAGATCCTCCCGTGTAGTTCTGGGCTGATTCCTCACCGTTCCCATGATCATTGCAACTCCACGAGGTGAGATCTTGCATGGAGCCCCAGGCCGAGGGAGATTGACAGTTATTTTGTGTTTCTTCCATTTGCGAATAATCACACCAACTGTTGTCACCTTCTAACCAAGCTGCTTGGCGATGGTCTTGTAGCCCATTCCAGTCTTGTGTAGGTCTACAATCTTGTCCCTGACATCCTTGGAGAGCTCTTTGGTCTTGGCCATGGTGGAGAGTTTGGAATCTGATTGATTGATTGCTTCTGTGGACATGTGTCTTTTATACAGGTAACAAGCTGAGATTAGGAGCACTCCCTTTAAGAGTGTGCTCCTAATCTCAGCTCGTTACTTGTATAAAAGACACCTGGGAGCCAGAAATCTTTCTGATTGAGAGAGGGTCAAATACTTATTTCCCTCATTAAAATGCAAATCAATTTATAACATTTTTGACATGCATTTTTCTGGATTTTGTTGTTGTTATTCTGTCTCTCACTGTTCAAGTAAACCTACCATTAAAATTATAGACTGATCATTTCTTTGTCAGTGGGCAAATGTACAAAATCAGCAGGGGATCAAATACTTTTTTCCCTCGCAAGACAATGACCCCAAGCACACATCAAAATCCACACATAAATGTTTAATTGACCACAAAATCAAAAATGTTCAATGGCCATCAGTCTCTGGACATGAACCCCATTGAAAACCTGTGGTTCTTACAATCTCATAAAACATTATAGAAAAAGGCTAAGTGTAGTTATCCTCGCAAGGGGGGGGGAGCACAAAGTATTCAAAACAAGGGTGCCAATCATTTTGACATCTTTTTAAGATTTTTTTTCTTACTTACTATTTTTCTCAGAGCAATTGTATTAGTATTTTATACAGTCTTTTTTGTCCATCTTTTTTAAGGGTGCCAGTCATTTCCGATGTGACTGTAAAGCCTTCCGCATGCTTTGGTTTGGCTGGCGCCTAGTCGAACCGAACGAGTGTGCTCGCATACTCCCTTAAAAGACCTTCACTTGAAAAATGAGAAAAAGCGGCGAAAGTACTGTTTGTCCACCTTGAGACGCCATAGCCACTTCATCAAAATAGTTAGAATTAATCTAAGATAACTCAAGAAATCTGTCATCATTTTGACGTTTTTGTCGAGTAGAGCTTAGTAGAGCAATTTTTCATCTAACTAAGATGTTGGTGCAGTATTTCTCAAGTGACAAAATGTGTATGAAAATTATTTGTCTCTCGTTGAATGACAACAAACACTTCATTGAAGAATCCCTACTGTTGACAAATTACAGATGAAGGGGCATAGACTTCAGCTACCGACTTCGGCTTGCCTCAAGAAAAAAATTTGTGTGCATGAGCAGCCGAAAGAAATCAGTAACAGTTGTCTTCCCATGTTGTTGCAGGTGGCTCTGTATATCTGGGAGAATGGCCAAGGGCCTCGTCTGACGGCAGTCCCAGAGCTGTGTACTGAGCCAGAGCACTCTCCCACTGCCCAACACTGTGCTACCACCCTCAGCAGCCCTGCTCCACTGTGTGTAGGTACCAAGTGCATCACAAGTCCATTCTTCACCACAGATCTGGGTCAAAATAGTAATTTTTTTGTTTCCGTTTTCTTACTTGGTGCACTTGATTGGGGTTTAAATGACATTGCACCAATGGAATAGTCCCATAAGTGCCAACCCGGCCATTATACCAAGTATTTGGGGGGGGGGGGGGGATGATACATGTCTGCTCCATCCCCCTAGTCTCACACAGGAACAATGATTATGTTGGTCTTTATGCATGCAAACTATCAGAGAGTTGGAGAGGAATCTCAGGATGACCTTATTGTCCAAATCCTCTTTCACCCTCAAGCGTTTTTTTAGAGAACCCTCAAATCCTCATCCTGGGTGAGACACTCTTCAGCAGGCCATTCCATACTGGAATTCTGTCTCACTGCGGCAGGCAGCTGGAGTCCTCAAGAGCCGTGTGGGTGTCACACCTTTTCTCCAGCACCATAGCAGTACACCTGATGAATCCAATTGTCGGCTGAAATGAAGATTAGTTATTAGTTCATTTGAATCAGGTGTGGTGTGTTGAGCTGAAAAGTGTGATGCCAGCAAAACGGCCCTCGAGGACAGCCGCTGCCCACCCAACACAAACCACTGTGTTGAGCTCTGGCCGATTTGTTTGTGCTCAGATGCGCTTAATATATTCCCTCTGTTCTTGATGCCTGTCTGTCTGCCTTGTACCCCTTGAAGTGTTGCCTTTCCTCAGCCTGGTCTGCATTTTCAATAAAGTGCTCAGAGTGATATGATGGAACAAGGTGCCTTCTCCCCTTTTAGTCTGTCTCCTTCTCTCTCATTCCCCTTTGGGAGAGAGATCCACAGCTATCCTGGCTCTCTCCTTTTAGTATTTCTTCTACCTTTCCTCCCTAATTGTAATTTAATTTAAATTACATTTGTAATTTAATTACATTTTAATTACATTTTCGTCATTTAGAAGATGCTCTTATCCAGAGCGACGTACAGTAGCGAGTGCATACATTTTCATACTTTCCTTCTACCCTTTCCTCCTACCCTTTCTCCCCCTCTCAGTTCTGCCTATCCTGGCTTGTTTCTTAAAGTCTCTCGTCTATCCTTCCTCCCTCCATGTCATCTTCCCACTAACCTGGTTGTTGCCAGAGCTCTAATATGCGGAGAAGATAGAGATTACTCATAGGCTGTGTCCCAAATTGCACCCTATTCCCTACTGGCCCTGGTCAAAAGTTGTGCACTACATAGGGAATAGGGTGCCATTTGAGATGCAACCATAAAGCAGAAAGCCTTGGGCCTCGCAGAGAGATAGAGGAGAGCCTATCAGCAGGGCGCGTGGCCTCCCTCTGGCATCAGCCTTAGAGCCACAGACAGACAGGCAGGAGACCTGAGCACTTAAATAAAGATGGCCAATTCACATTTCACTCTCAAATAATAACCTAATAATACCTCAGGACTCCACAACTCGGGACAGGGAATTTGAAAAAGTCACCATCTCAATAGGGCTTCAACAACGATAACAGCTCCCCTCTTGGGATGTATGTTCCATAACTAGGGCCCAGTGTTTTTCCTGACCATGTGACCTGACCAAGAAAAATCTGGGCTCTAAAATATGTCTAATTCTTATTTTCCTGCTTTTTTTACAGGGGGAGCCTGTAAAGAAGGACGACATCTTTGTCGCTGTGAAAACTTGTAAGAAGTTTCACAGTGAGAGAGGTGAGTCAGATCTTTGAAGCTCATCTGAAGCTCTGGGGTGGTTTCACGTTCGTAAAATATTAATGTCAACATTTGCTCTATTCTTCTAAAGGAGTGTATTTTTAGCTGTTGAGATGTGTTCCTGGTAAACTGCCTACTCTGTGGTGGTCTGGTTTAACTCTCAGCACAAGATGTCAGGTCACAAACTTGCTTCGACATGGTGTAGAGGTGGATTCTGAGAGAAGCTAAAACCATTAATTCCCTTAGAGTTAGATCCAGTGGATTTGGGACAGGTCAGCAACGTTTAACACCTCGGAACTGTAGCTTTTCCTTCACTGGTATTCTCCCCCCCCCCCGCCTCTGACAGCCTAACGGTTAATGTAGCTTTCATGGCAGCTCTGGGTCAGCTCTAAATACCAGGAATCAATTCAAACTTAATGAGACAGTGTTGCTGTTTGAATTTCGGAAGCATCTGGAAAATTCTACATCAGCTCCAGCTGACATGTCGGTCACAGACAATTGTTCCTATTATACTAATTACAGTATACTCTGCCAAGTCATAATCGACTAACACACGGACATAATTAAAAGGGACATTCGATTTATTTATGGCACAAGGGTTGGACCTGAAAAAAAGCTTATTTTGTAATTTATTATTTTTCCCTCAATTGACTCCAGTCCTTTACTGCTTTTGACACTTTACTCTTTCTGTGTGTTTTTTTTATTTTTCCAGGTCCAATTATTTTGCATTGAAAAAGAAAAAACAACAAAAACGTTAACCTTTTGAAATAAACATTTCAGTTATGTAAAAGACAAAATGTTAAATGTTTTTAACATTCATAATTAATAATGCTGCAAGTTTTCTGTGTACAGAAACCTGATTCTACTTATTATGGTAGTGTGGAAGTGTTGAGCTGTATTGTTTGACCTGTCGTCCTGTTGTCATGCCCCAGTCCCAGTGGTGAAGAAGACGTGGGAGAGAGAGGCATCTCTGTTGGAGTATTACAGTGACCACACTGACCCGTCCATACCTACCATCGACCTAGGAGTCCCCAACACAGAGAGAGGTGAGTTAATCGAGGGCCTGTATCCATAAAATGTCTCAGAGTAGGAGTGCTAATCTTGGATCAGTTTTGCCTTTTAGATATTAATAATTATTAAGATTACATGGACATCATGTAATCTAAGATCAGCACACTTAATCTGAGTGAATACAGGCCCTGCTCCCATCCACATCTCCACTCTAGTCAGGACCTGTTGCAATGGATGCAATTTGATGCAATTTCAAAAGCACCATTGATAAGTTCAGAGTTGATTTTGTTCAAAGATAAAGTTCACTAAAAAATGTGTATAAAGCTAAGATCTAAGATAATTCATTTATAAAAATCAAAGTTTTTCAGATGTTTTTAGACCTCAAAAGTCAGATGACATTATGTCCCATGCTAGCAATCCCAAGTGAATGGAATAGATAAGGACTGAATTATTTCCTGATTTGATTCAGTCTGATAAACTCTGTCAGATGGCGAGTCTGATACTACAGGTGAAGCAAGGCATGTTATACCGGTCTACCAATAGCACTGCACGCTATATTGTGTTATTATTTAATCAAGCATAATTTGGCTTCCTGTCTGATCCTGCTCTCATAACATTTGGGATGAAACAAAGGGCTGTGGGCACCAGTGGAGGCTCCTCAGAGGAGGAAGGGGAGGACCATCCTCCTCAGTGAAGTTCATAAAAATTAAAATGGTAAAACATTTAAAAAGTTATCTTTTTTTAAATACAACTATACTAAATATAATCACGCCACCAAATAACTGATTAAAACACATTATTTTGCAAAGAAGGTCTACAGTAGCCTCAACAGCACTCTGTAGGTTAGCACCATGGTGTAGCCGGAGGACAGCTAGCTTCCCTCCTCCTCTGGGTACATTGACTTCAATACAAAACCTAGGAGGCTCATGGTTCTCACCCCCTTCTATAGACTTACACAATAATTATCACAACTTCCGGAGGATGTCCTCCAGCCTATCAGAGCTCTTGCAGCATGAACTGACATGTTGTCCACCAAATCAATGGATCAGAGAATGAATCTAGTACTGAAAGCATAAGATACAGCTAGCTAGCACTGTAGTGCATAAATGTGGTGAGTAGTTGACTCAAAGAGAGAGAAAGACAAGAGTTGAACAGTTTTGAACAAATACATTTCTTCCAAAATGAAAGAGAGAAATAGAGAGAGATTTTTTTTTTTTCAGTTTCACTTACTTAGCTAGCAAATGCAGCTAGCTAGTTTAGCCTACTGAAACATCCTGCTCAAACAGAGAGATGCTATGTTAGCTAGCTGGCTATGACATTCCAACACAACTCTGGAACTCTTCCAAGTCAAGGTAAGCTTTTGGTTGAACTAATTTATTGCCACCGGGGCCTGCCGGTGTAATTGCTTACTGACTGTTCACTAACGTTACTGCATGATTGTAGCGTATTTACTAACGCATTAGTTCTATTAGCTATGCTGACTATGACATTACTTTAGCTAATATGGTGACAACGATGTAGGCTGTGTGTAGCAGTTTGGCTAGGAAAGGTTTTTTCGCCTGGTCACATACAGCTGATGTGTTGTGCATTGAAGTCCACACACAAAGGGAAGAGAAGGAATACAATGTTGCTGTTATGAGAGTGAACTCTGTTTATTGTGTGATCAGTGTTGCCAACTCCTCAGTAAGGAAAGTAGCTATTGGCTGTCCTAAAAGTCGCTAGATGTCGCTAAATGATGTCATCAACTAATTTGCATAATTGGCAATGTGCATGTAATTGTGATGGACGCTGTAGGAGAGAGAAATAACATTGTGGGAGAGACAAAAAGTCAGTAAAAAAACACCCTAAATATGTTTAGAACTTCAAATGAACTTTCTTCTGTTGATTCTTGTTTTTTTTTATGTCACAATTCCAACCCTCCTCCTTTATCTGGGCTTGGGACCGGCAAGAGTGACCCAAAAGAGACACTCTGGCGGAGTTGCTTATTTTTATTTTTTTAATATTAACGTTTTTTTGGTTTAATTTTCTTAAGTTTGGTTTGGTTTTTAACCTTAGGAGCCTACAACAAGTCATTTTTAAACAACATTTTTAACCATAATATTTTTTCCATTTTTTTTGTATACAATCTACATTAACAATCTAAATTGACCAAAAAGAGACAATAGAAAAAACTGTCAATGGCAATGTGAGAAAATGATGGTAACTAGTCTGGCCCTAATTCAGGTTAATTGTTGTTGTTTTTTCAGACCCCCCTCCACACACACACAGGCTGTGCTGGCTCACAGAAAGAGTGGGTCATCGTCGTTTTGGTCAAGGCTCTCTATGGCAGGTTCAGCAACTGAGGGAGCTGACTTAAATGAGTAAGCAGCTGATGTGCCAAAAAGCTGCAAAACATTATCAGGCAGCTGGTGCTCATAGCAAGCCTCACCAGACAGCTTCAGTCCATATCGAATGTACAGGATGGAGTTAAGGGTCTGCAAGGACATCCGATTTCTAAGTTTGCTTTTTACCACACTCATCTGGCTGAATACTCTCTCGACTTTAGCATTTGAGTGTGGCAAGGACAACACAGACACAGCAGCCATGGCAAGTTCTTGAAACGGGTTGATATCAGCTGCATCCCTGAACTTCCAAATCTCACTCCAGAAGCCCAGTGTGTTTTTTGTCTCATTCCATTTACTAAGATGGATGGCACGCCATTGCTGGACAATCTTGTCTATCTCTGCAGGGGAGTAGCCAAGGAGTTTGGCTATTTTATCTATTTCTACAGAGCTCTTATTGTGCTTTAGAGTTTCCTCCACATTGAAAACTGACATGTACTGCAATGCTTCGATGTTGTCCGGCAGTCTCACCCTCAACGCTTTTGGACATTGTTTTCATCCTCAGGCGCAAGGTGGAGCTCAGCTGCCTTTGACTCAAAAAGATAACCAAGGTACGGTTTGGGACTGATGTATCCATTTATTGGCCCTTTGAGTACATCAACATTTGCGTGTGGATTCAGCACCCTGCTGCTCACAGACTTGATCAGGCTTACCAAGCTGTCAAGTAGCTTAAGAGGATCTACTTGCTCTCCCTCAAAAGCCTTGATGGCCAACTGTACCTCACCCAGCACTGACTTCAAAAAAGTCAGATACAATATGTTTTGAGGATCACTGTACATGGAGTATAAAACCTCAGCCATGTAGCAGTGTTCACTGGACTTGGTGACTGCGAAATGCAGCCTAAGCTCCTCCCACTGCTCCAAAATGCGTGAAACCGCAAGTTCAATGGAGAGCCAACGTGTGGCACACACCTTGGTTATCTGTAAAGGTTTCTCCCCACAGTTGATGGTCTCATATATGGCCTTGTAGGCCTCCCTGCGCTTTGGAGACACTGAAAACCAGTTATAAGTCTCTCGTACCAAGTACTCCACACTACGGGGGATGGTGTCATTGGAAGCAAGACTTACAGCAAGCTGCAGAGAGTGGCACACACAGCGAATAAGAACCTGATCTTTGAGGCCATATTCCTCCTTCAGCAGTTTATCGACCCCATTGTTAATCCCCGTCATAACAGAGTCCCTATCCCCAGGAGTTACAATTTTTTAAGACAACATTTCTTGAGGAAAGCCACAACAGCACGGGCTATAGATTTGGCATCTCCTCCCTCCAACTCAACAAGCCCCAGAAATGTTGATACAATTGTCTGCTTGGTGTCACTTAAGTACCTTATCACAACCTCCAGGTACTTAGAAACACTTACATCCGTGGACTCATCGAGGAGGAGGCTGAAACGCTGGTCACCCACATCTGCGACCAACTTATTCAGAAAGTATGGTGCTAGAACACCATTAATCATTTCTGTGCACTTTGTCCTGTGCATTTTGAAGTGGGTAGCAGCAGTGGAGTCTGAGAAAGCAGCTCTACATGCTTCTCCAATGTGATCACATGCCAGCATGGAAGTGTTCAGCGATAGCTAATGCCATGGTGGCCTCAGCCTTTTTTGCAGAGTCAATTTTTTTAACCATAAATGGCAGCTTGTTTTGGGTGGAACTGTTATAAGGCTTTCCCTTTTGAGTATGTTTTTGAGTTGTCATGTGTTTTTTAACATCACTAAGTTTGGCGTAGAAATCAGCCTTACAATACAGGCAGTATGCCCGTGTATCATCTCCAATAAACGGCTTCAACCAGCCTTTAAATTCAGGGTTTGATTCCCACTCCTTTCTGTATTTTTGAGTGTACAGTTTAGACTGAGACATGATGAGCTAGCCAGCTAGATGTTTAGCTTATGTCACAGAGAGGCACACACACAGTGGACGAGGTGAGTAAGTGACTGAGGCTGTGTGAGTCAAATGCATTTATTTATTTTTGTGCAGTGATTTATTTTAGACAAAGAACATTTTACATTTACATCCCGCCCTGAATGTAAGCCAGGGCGGGATCAGCCAGCGGTGGCTTCCCACATGCGCGATTCATTTGCAGTCTGGACGCGGAGGCGTGAACATCTGCTCTGACTGCAGCTGGGAGGGACTGCTGCGCGAGGACTGGGCTGCCTGTGAGTGCTTTGGGATGGGGGTGGGGCCCACGGCAGCACCCGCTGCTCGTTGAGAAGAGTAAGAACGATACGTGCTTTCACATCAGAGTCTCCAAAAGTCTCCAATAACATTTTACATTTTAGTCATTTAGCAGACACTCTTATCCAGAGCAACTTACAGTTAGTGAGTGCATAGAATTGCAGGAAATGTGCTGTAAAACTGCACACAAAAAAATATCTCTGCAAAATGAGTAGAGTTGCATGAAATGTGTAATAAAATAGTAAAATGTTCTCTCCGCCCCATGGCAGGATGTGTAGAATTGCAGAAAGCTTGCTTTAAAGGAGCTACATGTCATAATTTTGCAATGTAATTTCAGAAAATGTCTTTAATATATCTAAAGTAATAAAATTGCACTCTAATGGTGCATCCTACTTATTAGTCAACAAAAGACAGACCGGCTCTTGTTGTCAAATTGACTGGGCCTGAGCCGCACGCTAACCGAATCAGTTAGCGCACGGAGGAGCTCAAATTGACTGGAGCCACTCATATTGACTGGGCCTAAGACGAACGCTAACCGAATGTGGCACAATCCGTTAGCGTGCGGTACTCAGGAAGTGTATAGTGGATGTTGTTCCCACTGTGACGATTAAAACCTATCCAAACCAAAAACCGTGGATAGATGGCAGCATTCGCGCAAAACTCAAAGCGCAAACCACCACATTTAACAACGGCAAGGTGAATGGGAATATGGTCAATTACAAACAGTCCAGTTATGCCCTCCGTAAGGCAATCAAACAGGCAAAACGTCAGTACAGAGACAAAGTGGAGTCGCAATTCAATAGCTCAGACACGAGACGTATGTGGCAGGGACTCCAGACAATCACGGACTACAAAGAGAAAACCAGCCACCGACGTCTTGCTCCCGGACAAGCTAAACACCTTCTTTGCCCGCTTTGAGGATAACACAGTGCCACCGATGCAGGCCGCTTCCAAGGACTGTGGGCTCTCGTTCTCTGTGGTCGACGTGAGTAAGACGTTTAAGTGTGTTAACCCTCGTAAGGCTGTCGGCCCAGACGGCATCCCTAGCTTCTTCCTTTGAGCATGCGCAGACCAGCTGGCAGGAGTGTTTACGGACATATTCAATCTCTCCCTATCCTAGTCTGCTGTCCCCACTTGCTTCAAGATGTCCACCATTGTTCCTGTACCTAAGAAAGGAAAGGTACTGTAACTGAACTAAATGACTGTCTGTCATCATGAAGTGCTTTGAGATCAAATCACCTCCACCTTACCCGACACACTAGACCCACTGTAATTTGCATACTGCCCCAATACATCCACGGATGATGCAATCGCCATCGCACTGCACACTGCCCTATCCCATCTGGACAAGAGGAATACCTATGTAAGAATGTTGTTAATTGACTACAGCTCAGCCTTCAACACCATAGTACCCTCCAAGCTCATCATTAAGCTTGGGGCCCTGGGTCTGAACACCGCCCTGTGCAACTGGGTCCTGGACTTCCTGAACGGTCACCCCCAGCTGGTGAATATAGGAAACAACACCACCACTATGCTGATCCTCAACACAGAGGCCCCACAAGGGTGCGTGCTCAGCCCCCTCCTATATTCCCTGTTCTCCCATGACTGTGTGGCCACGCACGCCTCCAACTCAATCATCAAGTTTGCAGACGACACAACCGTGGTAGGCCTGATTGCCAACAACGACGAGACACCCTACAAGGAGGAGGTGAGGTCCCTGGCGGAGTGGTTCCATGAAAATAACCTCTCCCATGACGTCAACAAAACGAAGCAGCTGATCGTGGACTTCAGGAGACAGCAGAGGGAGCACGCCCCCATCCACATCGACAGGGAGTGGAGAAGGTGAAAGCTTCAAGTTCCTCGGCGTACACATCACTGACAATCTGAAATGGTCGACCCACACAGACAGTGTGGTGAAGAAGGCGCAACAGCGCCTCTTCAACCTCAGGAGGCTGAATAAATTTGGCTTGGCCCCTAAGACCCTCAAACTTTTACAGATGCACCATTGAGAGCATCCTATCGGGTACGGCAACTGCACCGTCCACAACCGCAGGGCTCTCCAGAGGGTGGTACAGTCTGCCCAACGCATCACTGGGGGCACACTGCCTGCCCTCCAAGACATCTACAGCACCTGATGTCACAGGATGGCCAAAAGGATAATCAAGGACTTCAGCCACCCGAGCCATGGCCTGTTCACACCGCTATCATCCAGAAGGCGAGGTCAAATAGCCATCACTAGCGGGCCTCCACCCAATACCCTGCCCTGAATTTAGTCACTGTCACTAGCCGGCTACCACCTGGTTACTCAACCCCGCACCTTAGAGGCTGCTGCCCTATGTACAGTACATAGACATGGAACACTGGTCACTTTAATCATGTTTACATACTGTTTTACGCATTTCATATGTACAGTATATATTGTATTCTAGTCAAGGCCATCCTATTCAAACTATTGCTCTGCGTACACTATTCTATCCTACGTATTCTACAGATGTACTACATATTCTATCAACATACTGTCCATAATGTCTATAGATCCCATCACATATATACAGTGCATTTGGAAAGTAGTCAGACGCCTTCACTTTTTCCACATTTTGTTACATTACAGCCTTATTCTAAATATATATATATTTGTTTTATCCTCAGCAATCTACACACAATACCCCATAATGACAAAGCGAAAACTGGTTTTTAGACACCCTTTGCTATGAAATTGACCTCAGGTGCATCCTGTTTCCATTGATCATCCTTGAGATGTTTCTACAACTTGATTGTAGTCCACCTTTGGTAAATTAAATTGATGTGACATGATTTGGTAAGACACACACCTGTCTATATAAGATACAAGAGCTGACAGTGCATGTCAGAGCAGAAACCAAGCCATGAGGTCGAAATATTGTCCGTAGAGCTCCGAGACAAGATTGTGTCGAGGCACAGATCTGGGGAAGGGTACCAAAACATTTCTGCAGCATTGAAGGTCCCCAAGAAAACAGTGGCCTACATCATTCTTAAATGGGGAAGAAGTTTGGAACCACCAAGACTCTTCCTTGAGCTGTCTGCCCGGCTAAACTGAGCAATCGGGGGAGAAGGGCCTTGGTCAGGGAGGTGACCAAGAACCCGATGGTCACTCTGACAGCGCTCTAGAGTTTCTCTGTGGAGATGGGAGAACCTCCCAGAAGGACAACCATCTCTGCAGCACTCCACCAATCAGGCCTTTATGGTAGAGTGGCCACCCTTTGCCTTGATGACAGCTTTGCACACTCTTGGCATTCTCTCAACCAGCTTCATGAGGTAGTCACCTGGAATGCATTTCAATTAACAGGTGTGCCTTCTTAAAAGTGAATTTGTGGAATTTATTTCCTTCTTAATGCGTTTGAACCAATCAGTTGTGTTGTGACAAGTTAGGGGTGGTATACAGAAAATAGTCCTATTTGGTAAAAGACCAAGTCCAAATGATGGGGCGGCAGGTAGCTTAGTGGTTAAGAGCGTTGTGCCAGTAACCAAAAGGTCACTGGTTCTAATCCCCGAGCCGACTAGGTGAAAATCTGTCGATGTGCCCTTGAGCAAGGCACTTAACCCTAATTGCTCCTGTAAGTCGCTCTGGATAAGAGCGTCTGCTAAATGACTGAAATGTAAATATAAATGTAATGGCAAGAACAGCTCAAATAAGCAAAGAGAAATGACAGTCCATCATTACTTTAAGACATGAAGGTCAGTCAATCCGGAAAATGTCAAGAACTTTTAACGTTTCTTCAAGTGCAGTTGGAAAAATCATCAAGCACTAGGATGAAACTGGCTCTCATGAGGACCGCCACAGGAAAGGAAGACCCAGAGTTACCTCTGCTGCAGAGGATAAGTTCATTAGAGTTAACTGCACCTCAGATTGCAGCCCAAATAAATGCTTCACGGAGTTCAAGTAACAGACACATCTCTACACAACTATTCAGAGGAGACTGCGTGAATCAGGCCTTCATGGTTGAATTGCTGCAAAGAAACCACTGCTAAAGGACACCAATAAGAAGAAGAGACTTGCTTGGGCCAAGAAACATTAGCAATGGACATTAGACCGGTGGAAATCTGTCCCTTTGTCACGACTTCCTCCGAAGCTGCCTCCTCTCCTTGTTCGGGCAGGCTTCGGCGTTCGTCGTCACCCGCCTTCTAGCCACTGCCTCTCCTCATCTCATCATTCCATTTTTTTTGCCTTGTTTAATACACACACCTTGTTCATATTCCCTCATCAGTACCTGTATAAGTGTTCCCTCTGCCCCCTTGTCTTTGTGTGTAATTGTTTATTGTGGAGGATAGTGAAGCTCGGTGGTGTTCCGTGTATTTTGTATCGCCGGAATATTTCCTTGTGTGCCTTGTATTTTCCTGTTTTGCGCACTGGAGGGTTTTGACCCATTACTGCGTAACTCTGTGTTTCGGAATAAATCCTGTTATTCTGTGAATTACCCTCCTGCGCCTGACTCCTTTGAAATCACCTCATCACAGAATCACACACCAAGACATGGAGTCAGCAGGAGAGGAGCACATGCCTGGAGACGTGGCGCGGGTCCGGGAGCATTCGACGATGCTAGCCAGCTTGGGAGAAGCGATGGATCGGGTTCTCCAGGTCGTCCAATGCCTGGAGAGGAGAAGACATGATCTTTCAGGACTAGCTGAGTGACCAGATCGAGCCACCCACACCCCAGCACCTAGAGGGTTTCATATATTCCGACCAAAGGAGTTTGACGGGACAGCTGCCCGCTGCCAGGTATTCCTCCTGCAACTGGATCTATACTTCTCGACCATCAGACCGGCTCCATTGGAGAGGGAGAAGGTGTCCGCACTTGTCTCCTGCCTATCGAGGAAAGCCATGGAGTGGGCCAACGCGGTCTGGAGTGAAGGAGGAGCCGCGTTGGACAACTACAGGGAGTTCGCTCGCCTCTTCCGGGCCGTCTTCGATCACCCGCCCGAAGGTAGAGAGGCAGGCGAGTGGTTGGTCCACCTGAGGCAGGGGACGAGACCGCGCAGTAATTTGCCCTGGAGTTTCGTACTCTAGCGGCTGGGTCCGGGTGGAACGAGTGGGCCGTCATCGACCATTTCCGCTGCCACCTGTGAGAGGACATCCGAAGGGAGCTAGCCTGCCGGGACAACACGTTGTCTTTCAATCAACTGTTGGACATGGCCAACCGGTTGGACAACCTGCTAGCTTCTAGAGGCACGAGAGGACATTCTACTGCATGATGTCGTCAGCGTTCTTTTGGGTCTGGAGGCGGCAGGCAGGGCACTCTCGCGTCACCCCAGGTATCAAACACCCACACTCGTTCAGAGCCCTCTGCTGCGCACTGTACCCTACACATCCACTTCCCTGATTACACGGTAGTTCCCCAGTGTAAGGCGCTGGTCGATTCAGGCGCAGCTGGGAACTTAATGGACAGGTCATTAGCACATAGTCTAGTTATTACATTGGTTCCCCTATCCATTCCACTCCCGATCAGAGCACTTGACAGTCGACCATTAGGGTTCAGGTTCGTTAGGGAAGTTACAGCACCAGTCACTATGGTCAATGCATGGGGCGCGCTTCTTCACAAAATCAGATCTCCAGAGTGCGTACAACGTGGTGCGTGTCCGAGAGGGTGACGAGTGGAAGACAGCATTCAGCACAACCACGGGGCATTACGAATACCTGATGATGCCGTACAGTTTGATGAATGCTCCATCCTTCTTCCAGTCCTTTGTGAACGAGGTGTTTCGGGACATGCTTGGTCTCGGTATAGTGGTCTACATCGATGACATTCTGGTGTATTCCGCTACGCGCGCCGAGAATGTGTCCCTGGTTCGCAAAGTGCTAGGCCGACTTTTGGAACATGACCTTTTTGACAAGGCAGAAAAGTGTTTGTTTTTTCCAACAGTCCGTCTCCTTCCTCGGATACCGCTTTACCACCTTAGGTGTGGAGATGGAGGGAGATTGCATTTCAGCCGTGCGTAATTGGCCGACTCCAACCAAGGTAAAGGATATGCAGCGCTTTATTGGCTTTGCCAACTACTATCGGATGTTTATTCGGGGCTTTGGCAAGGTCGCAGCTCCCATCACATCTCTGTTGACGGGTGAGCCGTCCCGGCTCCGCTGGTCTGCTGAGGCTGACAGGGCCTTCAGTAACCTGAGGGTTCTGTTCACCTCAGCCCCGGTACTGGCCCATCCCGATCCATCACTACCATTCGTAGTGGAGGTGGATGTGTCCGAGGTAGGGATAGGCGCTGACCTATCTCAACGCTCGGGCACGCCACCCTAGCTCCGCCCCTGTGCCTTCTTCTCCAAGAAGCTCAGCCCGGCGGAGCATAACTACGACGTTGGTGATCGGGAGCTGTTGGCTGTTGTACGATCCCTGACCGTGTGGAGGCACTGGCTTGAGGGGGCGAAACACCCTTTCCTCGTCTGGATGGACCACCGTAACCTGGAGTACATCCGGGCAGCGAGGAGGCTGAATCCTCGCCAGGCCAGGTGGGCTCTATTCTTCATACGGTTTGATTTTACACTATCTTACATCCCGGGTACGAAGAACGTGAAGGCAGACACACTGTCACGGCTGTACGACACAGAGGAGATGCCCATAGACAACACCCCCATACTCCCGGGCCTCCTGCATTGTGGCGGCGGTAGTGTGGGCGATGGACACGGACATAGAGCGGGCATTACGCACAGAGCCATCTCCACTTCAGTGCCCAGCTGGGCTGCAGTACGTGCCGTCTCTTGTCCGTGACCGTCTGATCTATTGGGCACACACGTCCCCCTCCTCTGGTCATCCAGGTATCGGCGGTACAGTGCGCTGCCTGACCGAAAAGTACTGGTGGCCTACCTTGGCTAAGGACGTGAGGGTATATGTCTCCTCCTGCTCGGTGTGCGCCCAGATTAAGGCACCTAGGCACCACCCAGCGGGTAAATTACAGCCCTTACCAGTTCCACAACGGCCTTGGTCCCACCTGTGTATTGATTTTCTCACTGATCTTCCCCTCTCTCAGGGTAACACCACCATCCTGGTCGCTGTGGACCGCTTTTCCAAAGCCTGCCGCCTCCTTCCTCTGCCCGGTCTCCCCGCAGCCCTGCAGACTGCGGAGGCCCTGTTTACTCAAGTCTTCCAGCACTACGGAGTGCCAGAGGACATAGTGTCTGACCGGGGTCCCAAGTTTACATCCACGGTCTGGAAGGCGTTCATGGAACGTCTGGGGGTCTCGGTCAGCCTGACCTCTGGGTTTCACCCCGAGAGTAATGGGCAGGTGGAACGGGTAAATCAGGATGTGGGTAGGTTCCTGCGGTCCTACTGCCAGGACCGGCCGGTGTTCTTGCCATGGGCAGAATAATAATATAATAATATGCCATTTAGCAGACGCTTTTATCCAAAGCGACTTACAGTCATGTGCGCATACATGTTTACGTATGGGTGGTCCCGGAGATCGAACCCACTACCCTGGCGTTACAAGCGCCATGCTCTACCAATTGAGCTACAGAGGACCACATATAAATAGATCAATTGTGCCTTTTTGATGGAAATATGGAAGGTGGGATTTTGGAGATATTACTGCACTGTTTGAGTTAGGAACACAAGCAGTTCGCTGCACATCGCAATAACATCTGCTAAATATGTATATGCGACCAATAACAATTGATTTGATTTGTACAAATTGCTCAGCCCCAGTCAATTTGACAACAAGAGACATGCTGGCCACACAAATATTACATTTAGCTCCTTTAAAACTGCAACATTTTCTCTACTCCCCATGGCAAAATGTGTAGAATTGTAGGAAATTGACTTTAAAACTTAAACGTTTCTCTCCGCCGTCAAGAGGAGGGCCACTAAAATGTTTTGCCCGAGAGGTGGGTGGGCCCCCAAAAGGCTAGGGCCTTGTCGGCATCAAAGTCCACAATTCTGGTATTGTAACATCACTAATATGGGAGCAGTAGACACTGTAGGAGTGGGGAAATTAGAGCAACTAGACTAGTGCACAGAACTGGCTCTAATAGTAGGCTGTAATAGTACCATTGGCTTTCTTTCCTGTCTGCATTTCATGGTGTTGTCTTGTTATTCCACATTCAGACACAGAGAGCGAGGGAGGAGGGGGAAAAGAGAGAGGAGGAGAGGAGGGTGGCAAAGAAAGGGAGAGAGAGGTAACGAGACAAGGGTGCTACAGGGAGAGACGAGGAGAGAAATTAAGCATAAGGGTCTGTGTATTCTCTGTGATGGTGGTGCTTGACTGGGGAATTCCACCATGTCTCTCAGTCCCGATGGTTGGGAGAGAGGGACAGACGGGGGATTCCGATGGCGATGGGCGACATTATTTCACTGGGTTCTTGCTATTTGTTGTGGAGTGGTCCTCCTGTAACAGGCTACGGGCCCTGGTCAAAAGTAGTGCACTATAAAGGAAATAGGTTGCCATTTAGGATGAAGTCTGAGCCGGTAGGTATTATTCTAGCAATAAGTCAGACCCCAGCTAGTGTCACTGTGTCACTTTCTCTTTTCCGTCTCCTGATGAGTCATTTTCTAGCCCCCCCCCCCCCCCCCTCCACCATTGTTGCTACCTCACTCTTCACTCAAATCCCATGCTCCTCTTTCATGCTTTCTCTAAAGAGAGATACTGTACAACAACAGGGGAGATTAATGAAGGCAAAGGCCTACATTCATCTCCCCTGTTGTTGTACAGTATCTCTCTGACTTTTATTGGCCAGGTTGGATAAAGATTGAATTCTAGTCAGAAAGGGCATAATAGCCTCATTGATTTCCTGTCTCCTTAAGCATTCCCCTACTGTGACGGGAATGAGAGCTTTGATTCTCTGGACCGTGTCGCTGAATTGAAATACATCTGGTTTGTAAAGTCAACCTGTCTCCAACAAGTTAACAGACATCGCAATAAGTCTGTCAACAAAGTCAGTAAATGGTTACAGACAACAACCTAGCTATATCCCACAGTCAATCCTAATCCTAACTCGGGTCCATATGCACAATTATTTTTAGTTCTAGTTCTCGAATGAGGATTCTAGATCTGAAATTAAGATTTGGCCCTTTAATGTCCTGTCAACTGATGGGCAACCTTGCGTCCTACAGTTACAGAAACGGTACTCTGTGTGTTTTGTTCTGCAGGCCATTGTGGGAAGACGTTTGCCATCTTGAAGAGGTATGTCACCGACGCGGTGCCAAAGACGAGCTGGCTTCTGGTGGTGGATGATGACACTCTCATCAGGTAAAGCTCTCAGTACACACACACACACACACACACACACACACACATGCACGCATGCAGCCACACACACAGACAGACACTAAGGCTGATGGTGTGTCTGAGTGATAGTTCCTCCTCAGTCAAAATGTGTGTATACACTTATGCCAAAACCCCTGGTGCAGTGAAAAAGCTGTCAAATAAAAAAGTTGAAAAGTTGAAAGAACTCTTCAAGGCTGCCTCCTGAGGGCAAAGTCAGCAAACTAATTATTTTTTATTTAGTACGGAGGATATTGGATGTAGAGCGCAGTGGTGTCAGAATTTAATTGGGGGATTTTGATGAGGAATATCCTACCAGTGTACAAGTGTGTGTGCATTGTTTGTGTGTGTTTGTTTGTACATGCATGTGTACCTGAGTGTGAGTGTGTGCCTTCCCCAGCCTGCCCAGACTGCAGATGCTGCTGAGCTGTTACGACCCCTCTGAACCGGTGTGTCTAGGGGAGAGGTACGGCTACGGGCTGGGCCAGGGAGGCTACAGCTACATCACCGGAGGAGGGGGGTAAGTGACTTACATCTGCATCCCAAATGGAACCCTATTCCCTGCACAGTACACTACTTTTGATCAAAAGTACTGTACTGTGTAGGGAATAGGGTGCTTTTTGGCACTCAGCTAACATCTCTGACACAGACATTTTGGATGCAGCAATTGATGTTAATTGAGACAGAGGCCATACTTTTAGAGCAGTGGTTCCCAACTAAGGTCCTCGAGTACCCCCAACAGACCCGAAATTCCGAGACCCGACCAGGGACCGGAGCGGATCCGGGTCCTAAATTCTCACTTTTGTCTCGGATCGAGTGAGAGGAGCCTTGGCCTATAGGCTACTCTTGATTGCGCAGATGGAGGCCTTTTTCATTGAAGTAAAACGAAAGTTAGAGGAGAAAGAGTGTAGTGAAAAGAAGCAGATAAGGGGAATGTCCTCCGTGGGGACAAGTTGTAATATTGTAGTGGACAAGGGTGAGAAGAACATTGGCGCGGTCAAATGGACTGTGTGCAACTCGCTATTCAGGTTTGATGCAATTTAGGTTTATTATCATTTTTATTATTGTAGGCCTATTTAAGAATCTAAACCAGTTCTTTAAATATGCAGTGTTTTGATTCCTTTTGTTCAGGCATTTTCATTGGATAAGTTAAGTTCGAACTGTCTTTTTGATTTTGTGCTCCATATTTAGTTTAAGATAGGTTACAAGTGGTCCTGTTGTAAAATAAATATCATTACCCTATAGAGCTCGCCAGCTTGTAGTCCTAAAAACCGGAAATGAGTTACCTCTGGTTCGTTCAGCCATTCCTATGGGGAAAATGAATGGGAAAAGAATAGGAAAAATTACAACGTATAAGATCTCCTAAGCCTGTGTTTTCCACAGACCTTATTTTCTGCATTTCCAAAAACCCGACAAAACTCTGTTCATTTTCCAATAGGCTGAGTCCAAACCATGGCGGAGTTAGTGCCTACAAAAAGACGCCATTACTATGCTCTCTATTGCTGCCATTTGTCGGATAGGACTACAGTAGGCACCTGCCTTTGTTGGTAATTGCTGCAAAATAGGCCTAGCCTGTTAAAAACTTTTGTGAAAGTTTAAACCTTCAAACCTTGTTTCATTCTATTGAGCCGTTTTCTTTGGCCATGTCACGCCCTGGCTCTGGGGACTCTTAAATGTTGAGCCAGGGTGTGGACTTGTTATGTTTAGTTTTCATTGGGTCTGTTCTAGATCGTTCATATCTATGTTGGCCAGGGTGGTTCCCAATCAGAGACAGCTGTAGCTCGTTGTCTCTGATTGGGGACCATACTTAGGCAGCCTTTTGGCACTTTAGTATTGTGGGATCTTGTTCTGTATAGGTTTGTGTTGGTGAACCTTTAGACTTCACGTATCGTTTTGTTGTTGGTGTAAAGTACTCATTAAAAGATGTACGCCTATCACGCTGCGCCTTGGTCTGCCTCTAATAACGATCGTGACAGAAGATCCCACCAAAATAGGACCAAGCAGCGTGTGCAGGAGCAAACGCCGGGTATGGAACAGGAGGTTACTCTGGTAGATGTCCTCCTCGGTTGGGGGAGAATCACGGAGGAGGAGGCCGTCCGCTACCGGAGGGCGATGAGGGAGGATGCCCAGGCAGGAGAGGAGAAGCGGCGCCAACTGGGCCGTCGTCGGACAGGCGAGAGGCAACCCCAAGTAATTTTTTTGGGGGGGGCACACGGCATGGACGACGGGGCTGCTGGAGGCAGCTACAGGGCGAGTTTGCGGACTAGGAGAGGAGGCCACCAGGTTACGGGGGCCATTGGTCATGAGGGGGAAGGAGAGTGTAGAGGCACGGCGAGAGGTACTGGGGTGTGTTACCAGTCCGGTCCGGCCCGTTCCTGATCCCCGCACAAGGCCAGTGGTGTGTGTTCCCAGTACGGTCCGGCCTGTTCCTGTCCATCGCACCAAGCCTGTGGTGCGCGTCGCCAGCCCGGTCCGGCCTGTTCCTGCTCCCCGCACCAAGCCAGTGGTGCGCGTTGCCAGCCCGGTCCGGCCTGTGTCTGCTCCCCGCACCAAGCCTGTGGTGCGCGTCGCCTGCCCGGCCCGGCCCGTTCCTGCTCCCCGCACCAAGCCAGTGGTGCGCGTCGCCAGCCCGGTCCGGCCTGTTCCTGCTCCCCGCACCAAGCCAGTGGTGCGCGTCGCCAGCCCGGTCCGGCCCGTTCCTGCTCCCCGCACCAAGCCTGTGGTGCGCGTCGCCAGCCCGGTCCGGCCTGTTCCTGCTCCCCGCACCAAGCCAGTGGTGCGCGTCGTCAGCCCGGTCCGGCCCGTTCCTGCTCCCCGCACCAAGCCAGTGGTGCGCGTCGTCAGCCCGGTCCGGCCCGTTCCTGCTCCCCGCACCAAGCCTGTGGTGCGCGTCGCCAGCCCGGCCCGGCCCGTTCCTGCTCCCCGCACCAAGCCAGTGGTGCGCGTCGTCAGCCCGGTCCGGCCCGTTCCTGCTCCCCGCACCAAGCCTGTGGTGCGCGTCGCCAGCCCGGTCCGGCCTGTTCCTGCTCCCCGCACCAAGCCAGTGGTGCGCGTCGTCAGCCCGGTCCGGCCCGTTCCTGTTCCCCGCACCAAGCCAGTGGTGCGCGTCGTCAGCCCGGTCCGGCCCGTTCCCGCTCCCCGCACCAAGCCAGTGGTGCGCGTCGTCAGTCCGGCACGGTCCGTGACCTGTTCCACCTGTGCCTGGTCGGCACAGGTCAGTGCACGCCGGAGCCAGAAGCAATCGCTAGCGTGGTGCCAGCCAGTCCGCAGGGGCGTACTGCGGCCGGCGGTCGTGTCGGAGCCAGAGCTGGTCGCGTCGCCCGCACCGCGTGGTCGTCGCCATCCGAGCGGCATGCCCGCCGTCCCCTACCCCTTGTGCTGTGGTCAGCCGCGGCGTCGCTGCTCCCCGCACGCCTTGGGGGGTGCGCCGGTCGGCCCGTTCTGCTCACCGCACCAAGCCTGGTGGTGCAAGTGCAGCCAGGGTCGGCCCTTTCTATGTTCCGATCAAGTTGTTGTTGTGTTTCTAGTGGCCAGGGTCGGCTTCCCAATCCACGCAAAGCATGTGCTCGTGTCTTGAGGGGACCATAGGCAGCCTTCGTCGCACCTTTAAGCCATGGTGCGGATCTGTTCCGTAAGGTTCGTTGGTTCTGTTAACCTGGACCGCACGTACGTTCGGTGAGCGGTCGTCATGTGTGTGTCCGCTGTACGAACATAAAAGGGTACGGATCAGCTGCGCTGTGGTCCGCGTTGCGCGGGTTCCGCTAGTCCCCGCGCCCTTTGGGGGGGGGGGCGGTTGGGGTTACTGTCACGCCCTGGCTCTGGGGACTCTTATATGTTGAGCCAGGGTTGTGGATTTTCTATGTGTGATTTTCTATGTTTTGTTCTAGTTCGTGTTTTCTATGTTGGCCAGGGTGGTTCCCAATCAGAGACAGCTGTAGCTCGTTGTCTCTGATTGGGGACCATAATTAGGCAGCCTTTTGGCACTTTAGTATTGTGGGATCTTGTTCCGTAAGGTTTGTTTTGGTGTGTTAACCTAGGACTTCACGTATCGTTTGGTTTGTTGTATTGTTAGTGTTGTGTACGAAATAAAAGATGTACGCATATCACGCTGCGCCTTGGTCCGCTTCATCGTGCAACGATCGTGACAGGCCAAGTTAAGTTCCAACTGTAATGTTGTGTTTGCCGCAATATAATAGAATTACCGGTAGGCCTACTATATGTAGTCCTACCCGACAAATGGCAGCAATAGAATACAAACAGTGTAGAATACAAACAGTGTAGCTACTCACTCCGCAAGGCAATTAAACTGGCAAAACATCAGTATAGAGACAAAGTGGAGTCGCAATTCAGCGGCTCAGACACGAGACGTATGTGGCAGGGTCTAAAGACTACAAAAGGAAAACCAGCCACATCGCCGACACTGACGTCTCGCTTCCAGACAAGCTAAACACCTTCTTCGCCCGCTTTGAGGATAACACAGCGCCACTGACGAGGCCCACTACCAAGGACTGTGGCCTCTCCTTCTCCGTGGCCGACGTGATTAAGCATGTTAACCCCCGCAAGGCTGCCGGCCCAGACGGCATCCCTAGCCGCGTCCTCAGAGCAGGTGGCTGGTGTGTTTATGGACATATTCAATCTCTCCCTTTCCCAGTCTGCTGTTCCCACATGCTTCAAGATGGCCACCATTGTTCCTGTACCCAAGAAAGCAAAGGTAACTGAACTAAATGACTATCGCCCTGTAGCACTCACCTCTGTCATCATGAAGTGCTTTGACAGACTACTCAAGGATCATATCACCTCTACCTTACCTGTCACCCTAGACCCACTTCAATTTGCTTACCGCCCCAATAGATCCACAGACGATGCAATCGCCATCACACTGCACACTGCCCTATCCCATCTGGACAAGAGGAATACCTATGTAAGAATGCTGTTCATTGACTATAGCTCAGCATTCAACACCATAGTACCCTCCAAGCTCATCATCAAGCTCGAGGCCCTGGGTCTGAACCCCGCCCTGTGCAACTGGGTCCTGGACTTCCTGACGGGCCGCCCCCAGGTGGTGAAGGTAGGAAACAACATCTCCACTTCGCTGATCCTCAACACTGCGGCCCCACAAGGATGCGTGCTCAGCCCCCTCCTGTACTCCCTGTTCACCCATGACTGCGTGGCCAAGCACGCCTCCAACTCAATCATCAAGTTTTCAGACGACACAACAGTAGTAGGTTTGATTACCAACAAATGAGACCGCCTACAGTGAGGAGGTGAGGGCTCTGGGAGTGTGGTGCCAGGAAAAGAACCTCTCACTCTGCGTCAACAAAACAAAGGAGATGATTGTGGACTTCAGGAAACAGCAGAGGGTGCACCCCCCTATCCACATCGACGGGACCGCAGTGGAGAAGGTGGAAAGCTTCAAGTTCCTTGGCGTACACATCACCGACAAACTGAAATGGTCCACCCACGCAGTGTGGTGAAGAGGGTGCAACAGAGCCTCTTCAACCTCAGGAGGCTGAAGAAATTTGTCTTGGCACCTAAAACACTCAAACTTTTACAGATGCACAATTGAGAGCATCCTGTCTTGCTGTATCACCACCTGGTATGGCAACTACACCGCCCGCAACCGCAGGCGACACATACAGCAACCGCCCTCCAAGACACATACAGCACCCGATGTCACAGGAAGGCCAAAAAGATCATCAAGGACATCAACCACCCGAGCCACTGCCTGTTCACCCCGCTATCATCCAGAAGGCGAGGTCAGTACAGGTGCATCAAAGCTGGGACCGAGAGAATGAAAAACAGCTTCTATCTCAAGGCCATCAGACTGTTAAATAGCCATCACTAGCACATTAGAGGCTGCTGCTGCCTATTGAAATCACTGGCCACTTTAAGAAATGGAAAACTAGTCACTTTAATAATGTTTACACATCTTGCACACTGCCCTATCCCATCTGGACAAGAGGAATACCTATGTAAGAATGCTGTTCATTGACTATAGCTCAGCATTCAACACCATAGTACCCTCCAAGCTCATCATCAAGCTCGAGGCCCTGGGTCTGAACCCCGCCCTGTGCAACTGGGTCCTGGACTTCCTGACGGGCCGCCCCCAGGTGGTGAAGGTAGGAAACAACATCTCCACTTCGCTGATCCTCAACACTGCGGCCCCACAAGGATGCGTGCTCAGCCCCCTCCTGTACTCCCTGTTCACCCATGACTGCGTGGCCAAGCACGCCTCCAACTCAATCAACAAAGTATAAAGTTATGAATATGCTACACATCGAAACACAATGAATATTAGTTTTTTTTAATTAGTTATAGGCAGTTTTTAAGGACACTGTCGATCATTTGGCCTCTATCGCTCGTTTATTGATGGCGCTGGCATTCTGAGGTTTCTTCGATTTCTACTCTCGGATCTGAACGGGTCTCTCTGTTTTTCCACTGGCCTTTTCAGAATGGGTCTGACTGTCCTCGGGTCCATTCGGAACGGGTCTCCGTTAAAATAAAATGAATTTATGCAAATCGGGTCGGGTGGGAAAGCCACAGATCCAATTTGGAACTGGTCCAACGTTTTGGACCCATGAAGACCTCTACCCTCAACAGTACACGTTTTTTATTGTAGCCCCGGACAAGCACACCTGATTGAACTTGTCAATGAATCATCAGGCCCTCAATGAGTTGAATCAGGTATGTTTGTATGGGGCTGTTGAAGGGTACTCGAGGACCGGAGTTGGGAACCACTGTTTTAGAGGAATTGTTGTTGTTGTTGTTGTTGTTGTGTGGTAGCTATGGGTGGGATGCAGCAGGTTGCTGTTGAACTGTGGATAAACTGCAGGAGGAACTATATTTAGAACAAATCCATTTAGCAATCTCCCAAACATCCGAACTTGAAGTTTTCTCTACAGATGCTTATCTTCAGTTATTGTATTTCTGCCTCGTTTCTCTGTATGTTTCTCTGTAATGATTTGACCTTTATGGTGTAATTTCCCATTCTCACTTCAAATCATATGTGGTGTTACTATAGATTTGACTGGATTGTTAGATCAAAATATAAGAAGAATATAATAGAATATTAGAATATAAGACAGACATACAGTGCATTCGGAAAGTATTCAGACCAGGTCCCTTTTTCCACATTTTGCTACGTTACAGCCTTATTCTAAAATTGATTAAATAAAACAATTTCCTCATCAATCTACACACAATACCCCATAATGACAAAATTAAAACAGATTTTTATACATTTTTGCAAATGTATTCAAAATAAAAAACTGAAATACCTTATTACATAAGTATTCAGACCCTTTGCTATGATATTTGAAATTGACCTCAGGTACATCCTGTTCCCATTGATCATCCTTGAGATGTTTCTACAATTTGATTGGAGTACACCTGTGGTAAATTCAATTGATTGGACATGATTTGTAAATGCACACACCTGTCTATATAAGGTCCCACAGTTGACAGTGCATTTCAGAGCAAAAACCAAGCTATGAGGTCGAAGGAATTGTCCATAGAGCTCAGAGACAGGTTGTGTCGAGGCACAGATCTGGGGAAGGGTGGCAAAACATTTCTTCACCATTGAAGGATCCAAAGAACACAGTGGCCACCATCATTCTTAATTGGAAGAAATTTGGAACCGCCAAGACTCTTCCTAGAGCTGGCCACCTGGCCAAACTGAGCAATCGGGGAAGAAGGGCCTTCGTAAGGGAGGTGACCAGGAACCCGATGGTCACTCTGACAGAGCTCCAGAGTTCCTCTGTGGAGATGGGAGAACCTTCCAGAAGGACAACCATCTCTGCAGCACTCCACCAATCAGGCCTTTGTGGTAGCGTGGCAAGACAGAAGCCACTCTTCAGTAAAAGGCACATGACAGCCTGCTTGGAGTTTGCCAAAAGGCACCTAAAGGACTCTCAGACCATGAGAAACAAGATTCTCTGGTCTAATGAAAGCAAGATTGGACTCTTTGGCCTGAATGCCAAGCGTCACGTCTGGAGGAAACCTGGCACCATCCCTACGGTGAAGCATGGTGGTGGAAGCATCATGCTGTGGAGATGTTTTTCAGCAGCAGGGTCTGGGAGACTAGTCAGGATCGAGGGAAAGATGAACGGAGCAAAGTATAGAGAGATCCTTGATGAAAACCTTCTCCAGAGCCTCAGACTGAGGCGAAGGTTCACCTTCCAACAGGAGAACGACCCTAAGCACACAGCCAAGACAACGCAGAAGTGGCTTCAGGACAAGTCTTTGAATGTCCCTGAGTGGCCCAGCGAGAGGCCGGACTTGAACCCGTTTGAACATCTCTGGTGAGACCTGAAAATAGCTGTTCAGCGACACTCCCCATCCAACCTGACAGAGCTTGAGAGGATCTGCGGAGAAGAATGGGAGAAACTCCCCAAATACAGATGTGACAAGCTTGTAGCTTCATACCTAAGACAACTTGAGGATGTAATCGCTGCCAAAGGTGCTTCAACAAAGTACTGAGTAAAGGGTCTGAATATTTATATAAATGTAATATTTCAGTTATATTTTTTATTTTTTTGCACACATTTCTAAAAACAGTTTTTGCTTTGTCATTATGGGGTATTGTGTATAGATTGATGAAGAAAAACAACGATTTAATCCATTTTAGAGTAAGACTGTAATGTAACAAAATGTGGAAAAAGTAAAGTGGTCTGAATACTTTCCGAATGCACTGTAAATGTGGGTCATGTTGGACCAATTGCAACCAAGATTGGCCACTAGATTATTGCCAGCTGAGCTCTGTTTAAACCATCAATATGCGCTAAAATCACCCTACAGCTGATCTCAATTGCAACCATCATCTGCCACCGATTTACCGCTCCATAAAGGCGTCCTTATACTAGGTTTGCTGTTTGTCCATCGAGACTCTGTAGCCAGTACACTTCCTCAAGAAATCTGCAAATAATTTTGTCATTTTTGCAGAGGAGGTCGTAGATGCACAATTTTCTATCTAGATCTTTGGTGCGATATTTCTCAAGTGAAATTTGAATTACAACAAACCGTTCATTGAAGAATCCCTACTGTTGACCAATCACTGACGAAGGGGCGTAGACTTCGGCAACTGAAGTTCGACTTGCGTCAAGAAAATGTTTGTGTGCACGAACAGCTGATAAAACCCTTGCCGAACACCAAAACGAACAACAACTTCACAAAATGTTGTCATTGTATATGCACAAACTGTTTTGAACTTTTTCAGATGGGAAGCATGCGGACGCCTTAAGACGGATGTCGCTTTTATATTTTTTCAAGATTTTGTAATACAATGATTTTACTTGTCTGAATCAAATATGCCCATTTCTTATCAAGAGGGGAAAGGGAAATATTCCTGAACTGTAGTCTACACATTTGATATTTGAATCAAAATCGTGATTGTGTTGTATTTTGAATCAAATAATATTCTATTCTAATATTGTGTGGATAGTTGAGATCATTTCTTTAAGCTATTTGTAGAACAACGTGATAAGACTCAGTAGTGAACCTTTATAATTTAGCACAGGGCTACTAATTAGGCCAGTAGTCTACCTTATTGAAGAAACAATGTCTGAATTGGAAAGAAATGTGGTAGGGAGAGTCATTTCGTATTATTTGGAAGTCGTTATCCAAAGAAACAGATGCAAAGTGTTTCGTTTTATAATTATATTTAAATTGTTTATAACAGTCATTGCTGTGATCGATATCACTTTAATTTACAATGTGGTAGGCTAATTAATTAAAAGTTGGTTTTCAATAACTTTCTTTTCGCAGAGTTATTGACATGGGCTACATTTCCAGTTTAATCATTTTATTTCAGTTGTAATATGTCACATTCTTCCGTTTTAACTTTTTCATATTTCAATTTCATTGTTCCTAATAGGATGTTTTTTCATTGGGGCGGGAGTAGTGAAGGCAGACAATGACCATTTCCCATGCCACAATTTTGCTCAAAACATATTTGTTTACCCTTAACTGTGTGTACATTACTGTATTTATACGTGGGATCTTGTTTTTCAACAGGAAAAGTACAAAAATACCTGGAATGCGTCTTTAAATTGTCAATCCACCTTTTTTTCCCTTAACTGTGTTGGTCAGAGTAGTGATGTTAATGTGTGTGATAATAATAATAATAATAATAATAGTTGATTGGATTCTCCACGTAGGTGCTCAATCATTTTCTGTGCCAGAACGCTCACCACACATAAGCTAATGTGTGTTGGCGTGTGTGCGTGTGTTGTGTCCTGTCAGGATGGTGTTCAGTAGGGCCGCGGTGGTGAGGCTCCTGGCCAGTGACTGCAAGTGTTACAGTAATGACGCCCCTGATGACATGGTGCTGGGGATGTGTCTCAATGCTCTGGGGCTCTCTATCACACATAGCTCCCTCTTCCACCAGGTAAAACACTGGCCTTACCCATTACCCTTATGCCAGGAACCCACAGTTTGGAATTTTATTGGCACGATTCATGTGTCACATACTATTTTCATGATTGTTATTTCATGATCGTACACGAAAAATGGGAGCTCTAGAGTCGCTCAATCTGGCAGGGTCAACATTAGCGGATTTACTGCACTTGTGATTTCCCGACAACACAGACTTTTCTGTCGTTGTCGTTGCCCTGCATTTTTCCTGCTGTGTGAACACTGCTACGAAGGAGATTCCACGGCAATAGGAACGCTGTAAGCTGGCATGCACTGTAGAAAAGATGAAGCAATTGGTCCATCTTTCTACACAGCATGTTATCTAACATTTTCTACACCCTAAATGACCATTTCTAAGTATCCGATTTTATTAACCACATTGTAGGCCTACTAGAACACAGATTATGGCAGATTTGACAAATAAGCACTTTCTGCTATTTTAAAAAGACAAATTCTAATCAAAGCAAATGTAACTTAATTTATACAAGTGGTAAAGTGAGAACACCCTTCAGATAGCAGATCCTCAAGATGTATCAGCTGTTATGTCGTAAAGTGGAGCACTTCCACTGCACGACATAGCAAAGAGGTTTGGATGATCAAAAACGCACTGTGGGAGAGAGCCATTACCTTATACATTATTACCCATTACCCTTACCTAATACCAACTACCCTAACCCATTACTGTTATCTAATAAGTTACCTAAGACCTAATACTCTTTACCCATTATTCTTACCTGATAATACAACATTTCACAGTACGTCAATTTCACAGTTCAACAATGGTTGTTGTAGCAAGGCTCAGGTAACAAAGATACTAGACAATAGCCAATATCCCTCCTTAGTTAACTCCTTACTTTCTCCTCATCTCCTGGGGGACTGGTTCTCTCTGATTGTACCAGTGTATTTAATAGCCCTGTTTAATCGTAGCAATTACAGCAGTCTCCTGTGGCTGATGGTAATGGAAGGTTTTGAAAGGAATAGTTCACTCAAATTACAAAATAGCAAATTGGTTTCCTTGCCCTGTAAGTAGTCTATTAACAAGGTAAGCGAGGCAGGTAGCCTAGCGGTTAAGAGTGTTGGGCTAGTAATCGAAAGGTCATTGGTTCGAATCCCCGAGCCGACTAGGCACTTAACCCTAATTGCGCCTGTAAGTCACTCTGGATAAGAGCGGCTGCTAAATTACTCAAATCTAAATAAGAGAGCAATCCATGCTTTGGTTTTGTTTTCTAGCCACTGTCTCCAAATGCTAACTTTTGAGCATTTACTAACTTTTGAGCATTTGTGACACAAAACCAATGCAAGTCAATATCCTCGATATTAGCATTTCAATAATTGTTCTGTCCCTCCAGGCTCGACCTGAAGACTACTCCAGAGACTTCCTAGCCCACCAGGTGCCCATCTCCTTCCACAAACACTGGAACATCGACCCCGTCGCCGTCTTCAACAGGTGGCTAAAGGACGAGTCGAGGTCAACAACCCCACACGGACTAAACAAGAGCACCAAAGAAGAGTTATAGTCACTCAGACACTATCAGTCTTAGTGTGCGTGCGTGTATGTGTGTGTGTGTGTGTGGAGTCAAGAACAAACGTATTGTCAGCATGTTTCCTCTATCAGTATAAATGTTTTCTATATTGTTAATCTTGCGGAGATATAATTTGGAAGGTTCATGCAAGTCTCTGTCCATGACTGTGTGTTTGGGAACTTATTCATGACTGAGGCCAGGCGCATTAGAGCAGCGCACTAAAATTGACTTTCAAAGGTAATTTACGCTTGGGCCGACATGCGCAGCATTTACCATGAATGCGATCTCCGCGAGGGTCGGGGAAAACGCCTTTAGAAGACACATTGTCGGCTGTCTAGTGCGCAGCTCTGTAACTTGTATTGAATCTCGGCCACAGTTTCAATAGATTTGCATGTTGAGGTTGTCAGTGTGTGTTCGGATCTTGTCTGTGTATATTTATAATATGATATAATCTATAAATCTTGCCAAGTTGAACAATGAACCTCATTTTCTTCTTAAGGACATAGCTCAACATTATTACTACATGCTGTACAATGTGTACTATTTTTATAAAAACATGTTATCACTTAAAAATATGTGTTTGCTCTGTCTTATTGGAGTTTTATTTCTGCCATTTGGTTTCAGGATTAATTAATTACTATTAATTGTGACTGTAAATAATAGGGTCTATGAAGTGTGTGTGTTTTCATAGCCCCTATTATCACACACACAACACATACTGTTCAATGAAATTTTAAATAGAAGCTTAGAGAAATTACTGATGTTTTCTTTATGATAACTTTGATGATAACTGTGAAAGCAAAGGCCCTTGTGCTGTGCTTGGGCGGGACACCCATATTTCCGCCATGACACACTAGCTTTCCTCATTACTTCATAACTTCATGAGTGTTCAGTTTTAACTTGTGTAACTTTGTTTATGGAAGACTTATCAATACAGGCCCAGCATGGGGACAGGGATGTGAATAATACAACTAGGCTGACATGTTGGTAAAATAAATCCCTTTATATCAGGGGTGTCAAACTACTTCCATGGAGGGCCTAGTGTCTGCAGGTTTTTGGTTTTTCCTTTCAATTAAGCCCTAGACAACCAGGTGTGGGGAGTTCCTTACTAATTAGTGACCTTAATTCATCAGTCAAGTACAAGGGAGGAGGGAAAACCAGCAGGCACTCGGCCCTCCGTGGAATGAGTTTGACACCTGTCTTTTATATGATGTAAGGTCATATGATTGAGTCATTCACCAAGAATAGAGCGTCCTCTTCTGTCTTCTGTTTCCCTATTTATCAGAGTAGTCAGGGTAACTTCTGAATAAATTAATGTAAGGAAACTCGCCAAATGCACATTAATGAATTACACTACATGACCAAAGGTATGTGGACACCTGCTCGTCATAAATCTCATTCCAAAATCATGGACATTAATATGGAGTTGGTCCCGCCTTTGATGCTATAACAGCCTCCACTCTTCTGGGAAGGCTTTCCACTAGATGTTGGAATATTGCTGCGGGGACTTGCTACCATTCAGCCACAAGAGCATTAGTGAGGTCGGACACTGATGTTGGGCGATTAGGCCTGGTTCGCAGTCGGCGTTCTAATTCATCCCAAAGGTGTACGATGGGGTTGAGGTCAGGGCTCTGTGCAGGCCAGTCAAGTTCTTCCACACCGATCTCGACAAACCATTTCTGTATGGACCACGCTTTGTACACAGTGGCATTGTCATGCTGAAACAGGAAAGGGCCTTCCCCAAACTGTTGCCACAAAGTTGGAAGCACAGAATTGTCTAGAATGTCATTGTATGCTTTAGCGTTAAGATTTCCCCTCACTGGAACTAAGGGGCCTAGCCCAAACCATGAAAAACAGCCCCAGACCATTATTCCTCCTCCACCAAACTTTACAGTTGGCACTATGCATTGGGGCAGGTAGCGTTCTCCTGGCATCCGCCAAACCCAGATTCGTCCGTCGGACTGCCAGATGGTGAAGCGTGATTCATCGCTCCAGAGAACGTGTTTCCACTGCTCCAGAGTCCAATGGCGGCAAGCTTTACACCACTCCAGCCGACACTTGGCATTGCGCATGGTAACCTTAAACTTGTGTGCGGCTGCTCGACCATGGAAACCCATTTCATGAAGCTCCCGACGAACAGTTCTTGTGCTGATGTTGCTTCCAGGGGCAGTTTGGAACTCAGTAGTGAGTGTTGCAACCGATGACAGATGATTGTTATGCTCTACGCGCTTCAGCACTCGGCGGTCCCATTCTGTGAGCTTGTGTGGCCTACCACTTCGCGGCTGAGCCATTGTTGCTCCTAGACGTTTCCACGTCACAATAACAGAACTTACAGTTGACCAGGGCAGCCCTAGCAGGGCAGAAATTTGACAAACTGACTTGTTGGAAAGGTGGCATCCTATGATGGTGCCACGTTGAAAGTCACAGAGCTCTTCAGTAAGGCCATTCTACTGCCAATGTTTGTCTATGGAGATTGCATGGCTGTATGCTCGATTTTATACACCTGTCAGCAATGGGTGTGGCTGAAATAGCCGAATCCACTAATTTGAAGGGGTGTCCACATACTTTTGTATATATAATGTATATCCTTTTTCAGTTGCATTCTGTTGGACATTTTTACTAAAGCAACTTAAAGGGATAGTTTACTTAAATTACGTTCAATTTATTATATCTTGTCCCAATCAGGGGCTTTATTTAATCCATATCGTGGAAGTTCAGTGTTCAGAGCCCCAGATCTCTATGTAAATGTGCACTTACACCATTCATTCATTCACTTATTCATTCATTCATAAAAATTAACTACTGTATATCCATTCATGCTCTCTGTCCTGCCCCCCCCCCCCCTCGCTCTCTCTCTCTCACTCCCCCTATCTGTCATGCATTTTAATTCAAAGAGAGAGAAACAAAGTGGAGACGAACAGTCAGTTCTGAATGGTTGATGAAGCTGTCAAGAGACTTAGACTTGAGGAAAACAGGTGCTAGAAAGAAGGTGAAATTGGTTTCCATTTCCAATCTAATGTTGTTGATGACATACACAAATAAGACTGAAAGACACACCACATCCCTTTCTCTGCATCTCTATTACATGTTACGCTTTGATATTGTCATTTGAAGACAGAATACTGACTATAATATCATATTGATTTGCTCCCTCGCTTCTCCTCATCTCTCATCGTCGAGGCATCACGTATGATTTTGAGAGGTCTAATAGAAATTGAAATGAAGAGTGAGTTTCTTTATAGATGATAATGATATGGATAGTATTTTACTTTCTTTTGAATCCATTCAAACATTTCCATCCTGTCAGCACAATAACAACCCAGCAGGCAAAACTTGGCACATGATATCTGAATGTAATTTTCTGGATGTAAACTGTTTTTGTGGTTGAAAAGATTACAACTGTTCTCTGTTATTACCAGGTAAATACATTTTTCATGACGAGATCAGGACGTGATATTTTGCTTATCTGGTCAGTTAGCCAAATTACAACCAGATAAAGACTTTAAAGCTACAGTTTGCAATTGGTACATACATTTTTGGACTTTTGAATTAATGGCCATTTGGGTTTTTAAAAATATAACCTATAAATGCCTATTGAGCTTAGTACAGTTGTACATCATAACCCATCTTCTTTGTAAATTGTAAATTGTAGTGGTCCGTCCTTGTACCCATTTGCTATGAATTTCAGAGTGGTTACATTTCTCAAGCTACAGCCCTTTGCTGTCTACCTAAGTTGCGGGGCGGCTGGAATTTGTTGTTTTTCGAATCCCAGACTGTAGCTTTAACCAAACTAGTTTAGCCCGCTGGGAAGGCATGCTGATTTTTCATGTTTTGACATTTACATTTTAATCATTTAGCAGACACTCTTATCCAGAGCGACTTACAGGAGAAATTAATAATAATAATAATAATAATTTATTGAACTTCAATAGCACTTTTCATAATAGAAATCTCAAAGCGCTTAAATTAGGGTTAAGTTCCTTACTCACGGGCACTGGGATTCGGCTCTGGGATTCGAACCAGCGACCGTTCAGTTACTGGCCCAACGCTCTTAACCACTAAACAGGTGCAGTTTTGTCATTTGAAATACCTTTAACAACCTACCCAGAGTAACGCTCCAGGTTAGTGGAGCTTCAGGGCTTGAACAAAATAGTATGAGGTGAAATGAGTTATTTTGGGGTAAGTTTGACATGTGTGAGGGTACTGTAGTGTCTTGGCACTAAGCATATGTTTCCTGTCAACCTGCTACTTTTGTAAAAGTTTAAATAAATGAAATAACAGATCAAACACACATTTCATTAAGAATGCCTTAAGCGCTTCCTGAATTGACCCCCAATGCTGCTTTCTAGCTGCAGTGATGGATCCAGGCTGGTTGCAGCTGGAGGAAGATTATCCACTGTGCCAGTTCCCTTGTGGCAACCTGAGTATGTGTCTGCCACAGCTGCTTCACTGAAACTGACACCTAGACTGCCCAAACGGGGCTGATGAGGAGAACTGTGGTAGGTATACTATCTCACCTATATTAACTGGCTACTACCATCTCACCTAGATATTAACTGGTTAGTACCATCTCACCTAGATATTAACTGCAACCTGGTTCAGGTTATCAGTCAACCTACCAGGGTAGTTACAAACAGCACAGGAATTAAATGTATTGATCACATCTTTACTAATGCTGCAGAAATGTGCTTTAAAGCAGTATCCAAATCCATTGGATGTAGTGATCACAATATAGTAGCTATATCTAGGAAAACCAAAGTTCCAAAGGCTGGGCCTAATAAAGTGTATAAGAGGTCATACAAGAAGTGCTGTAGTGATTCTTATGTTGATGATATAAATAATATTTGCTGGTCTGTGCTGTGTAATGAGGAGCAACCAGACACTGCACTTGACACATTACGAAATTGCTTTTTCCAGTTACGAATAAGCATGCACCCATTAAGAAAATGACTGTAAAACTGTTAACTCCCCTTGGATGAATGAGTAATTGA